TCTGCAGAGATACAGCGATCTGCTTCCTGAGACACGGCATCTAGACGAGACGACACATCAGCCTGAACTCAACGCCGCCGAGTCTCCGGCTGGGGGAACGGACACACCGATGGGCTCCAGCCCGGATTTAATGGGAGAAATGTTTAAATCATGACTTTCACTCTGTGCAGCCGAATCAGGTAGATGCGCTCGAGGTGCCGGGTTGCATCGATGGTTTTGTTTTTCATTGACGCGTTAACTACTTCCAGCATTTCCAGACCCTTAAAAGGCACATTTAAAGGAAATAAATGCATCATTAGTTTCTAAAATTGCTTTTTGGGGACTGACAATATTCATATGTGAAGAGTCAGTAAATCAATATTTATTGTCCCAGTGTTGCAAGTCCATGCCATTAAAAAGCACATTTTTATGTTAGTCAGAGAAAGTTGTGCGTGAATCCTGCGCTGTCACTTCACTGTTCTATACACACAAATAGTTGATGACCACACAACATGCACACAAACTTTGTGAGCGGTATAAATATTAGAAGTAACATTAATGAAAGCTTTATTTCACCCACAGTTTGGGAGTCTCGAGAGACTAAAACTTTTCGGTTTAAATGGCTGTGCATTTAAAGTTTGGATATGTAAAACATGCAGAAGTGCTGCAGAGGGACGTGGTGCAACTAAAATAATTTTTTCGGGAGCCGTACATAAACAAGTACTGCATTTGCCTAAAATGTCCTTGACTTTTCGTTTAGAAAAGTAATTTCAAAGTATTAAAATGGGGGGAAAACGTAGCATCACATTTATTGGTCAGATATGAGTACGCATACCAAGGTTCTATTACTCGCTTTGCACACACAATAAACTGTAGAAATACAGCTAGCATTACTTAAAGTTAACTTTTAGCATTTGACCGAAGTGAGTCATTGGTCAAGGAGCCTCTATCAATGGCGTCCAAATGGGCCTCTGGAGAGAACGTAGGGCCTCGTAGTTTGGGGAGCAGGAGCACTGACCGACCTGCTTTACTGGACTCATTATTAGTAGAATAATGTCATTAAAAACACAGCGGTGCTGCATCGGTATGCAGCGTTTACGGTTTATTCAGTAGGCAGCAGTGACTGTTTCCTGCAGTCCAGACTGTCCACTGAAGTCCTTTATCGTCCCAGTTGGTGGCTGATCCAAACCACACAGGAGCCCTGAAGCACCGGCATGAAGTAAAGAAATGCAATACACCCGGACACGGCGAATGTTTACCTTTGCACATATTGCCTGAGGGTGCAATAATCTCTTTAGTTCCCACAACGCTGAGTCGTATCCCCTCCCCGCCTCCCTTTGTGTGTCTTTTTTCAGACGCTGACATTTCCCACCTGTCCGCCAGCCACCCTCACGGCGTTTCCCCTTGAGCCCGACTTCCTGCACAGCTGGTCCTCCTCCTCCGCTGCGTCTCAATCATATATTACACGGTGCTGCTGAGCATGTAGAGGTCCTCGCTGGGTAAATACCTGTAATAAACAACAGATTTGCGTAACCGTTTCGTCTTCATGCAGCTGGTTGTGAATGCATGTTTTGGAGGAAGTAGTTCCGGTATTCAGTCTTTTTCAGGAAGAAGGGGAGAAGAAATGTAAAGTTAAATAACGGTGAAAATGCCCGTGGAAACAGATCCTCTACGGACGACTCTTGAGGAATGATGGCTTCTTTCTTTTGTCCTGAATACGATAGCAAAAGTGTTGCCTTGTCGCCAGCCTGGATCCTTCTGCCGTGGACTACTGAATGAATACTGAATATGCATCTCGACAGAGACTTCCGTGTTCTCCGATGGCCTCCACAGTTGCTGGATTTCAACCAGACAGAAAACTGTAGGGGCCTTGGAGAGGAACAACAAATTGAGGAAAGAGAATATGTGATGCTTTCATGTCAGTTCTTGAGGTGTGAGGGTTAATAATCCATCCATCCATCTGCAAACCGCTCGAATGCTGCACACAGGGTCGCTGGAGGTTTAATAATGTTTTTGTTAAAATAATGGACACTTTGAAGGCCTCAGCACTGGTAAATGTTTAATATTTATTTAAATTGGTGATACACTGTGCTGTATAGAAGCGGCCATTTGTAAACTGCTATTTCTAAACCACTAAACTTTACCAAATCGAACATCTTGCTGAACTGAAGTAAACTTGAAACTAGAAGATTTAAACCATAAATGCATGTTTGGAATGTTTACTGAGGGAAAAGGAGCCATGTTGTGTAGCAGTCTCTACAACTGAAGTGTAGATCAGAGATGAGACCGTGTAGGAAAAAACGTGTATATTTTGATGGACGTTGAATCAGACAAAGAATACCCAGCATTCAGTGCAGGTTCACCGTTTTTGTTTATGGGTGCCCTGTAGGAACAAACTTAATATCAATACACAACAAGCCAGTATTTCCTGAATGTGGCAACCTTGCTTGTCTTGAAATAAGACTTTCTTCTGAAAATCTGCCGTGAAAATCAAGACGAGTTGGTGGTTTCAAAACAGTCAAGTTTGCTTTTTCCAGCCAACGCGAAACAGTTGTGTAGAGATCAAAAGAGTTTTCAAAGAAGAGTCCATGACAGCCGAGTCTTTCTTCTGCAGTCCACTGCATGTTTTAGCCTCGAGTATCGGCACAAGGACGCGGGTTCACACAGAGTACACCAATTGTGTCCTTCAAATTCAAGCAAAGGCGGGACCCTTTTCTCGCAGCCTTTGGACAGAGAAAAGTCTTGTCATATTGGGTCTAGAAACGGGGACTTCAAAAGGCGGCGCCCCCCCCCCTGAATCGGGCAACAGACAGCTCAGCACGCTGGACGCCTCATCATCATTATTCATAGACTTATGCCACAAAGTGCAAGAGAACCCTCGGCGATGTCCGGGCGTCATGTTCCAGATTGGCCATGTGTTCACATGAATGAGCTCCACTGATCGTTTCTTCATAGGGCCGTCGAGGGGAAAGCCCCCCCGTCCCTTTGTGGGGTTTTATTACCCATAAATATGCAGGACAATGCAGTCTGCGATCGCGTGACTAATTTCTAATGACTTTCCTGAACGCTTGCACGGAGCCTGTTTGGAGCTCTCTGAGCGACCCTGAAGAAACGTCTCGACCTTACGTAACTGCTCAAAATGTTCAAAGAATTTATGACAAAGGAACTGCTTAGAATGCTTCCTGCGTAACCTCGCTCCCTCTCACCGGGCAATCTTTTTTATGATGTCTCTGGCCGTCATTTTCTTTTATTCGAGATGGCCGATTAATTACATCTGGCAAAATAATGTCCAGTGGTCCCCTGACAGCCCTCCGGTGTGCACCAGAGGTGTGAGAGAGGAGGTGTTTGGGGCAAATACGAGTCTTCAGAACGACTCGTCGGACATGGCGTGTACTCACAGAATCAGGAAAGGACCATTCAATAGGAATTCAAAAAGTGGTCAAAGCCCGCTCTGCTTTTGTCTTGAGTCTTTACAAAAATGAATACTTTCTCACAACGATCACTTGTTTACCATGAATGAATTTACTCTCATGCTTCTTAGGCGACATTTACACATAGCCGGGTATTTACAGAAACGAATATTTCTGCCCCTCCGTTTTCAAAAATAACGTCGTACACACAAGGTCGTTTCAAAAAAAGTTTCTGTTCATATGAACCCGCATAAATACGGCCAAATAACTATGCCAAACCTGTAGTCGGCAGCGCAACGAGAATGATAAAGACATGCAAACCAATCCGAATTCTCAAAACCAACAACAACTACGAAAAACACGATCAACTTCCTTTCTAACTGTAAACACAGGACGCTCACATGACGTGAAGCATTTTTAGTCGCATACTGTGACGTTTGACAACCTAGAACTCCGTTTGACCTTGTTCACACGCAAACACAAAAACTGAGTTTTTAGAAATGATCGTAAGCCAAAACGCATGAAAATACATGCGTTTTCCCATCGTGTAAACGGGGTCTTAAACTAAAACAAATGTAAACATTGGATGAGCTGCAAAAGGCACTGGCATGAAACTGGCAATAATCTCTCAAACAGTGAAGTGTTGGTATAGTAGAGAAGATCAATCGTCAAGCCACATGCTTATTAGATATCGAATTGTAGTAGATTTTTCATTTTCTTCGCACGATCAAATAAAGAAGTGACCTTCAACACAACTGCTCTTTCTGCAGGAGAAGTGAACGAATGTGTGGTAACAGAGGGTTTAATGCCGAGCTGGTAACGGATCCTGTCATCGCGCCGTTAAAACACACCGCAGAAAAGCCGTTTCCTCCTCCACCAACATGTCCAAGGTCCCTGCAAAGGAATCTGCAGGGTAACCTTGTCAAACTAAGCTGCGTGTGTCCACAGAGGTCACTCGATTACACCAACAGCAGGATTAACAAAGTTACTCTCAAGCTGTAATGAATCACACACGTGAGGAGAGAGGCAAAGCAGAAACATGCCATGTGTTACTCCAGTCTCGGTCATAATACTAACTTTAATTATCTTTAATTCTATCATTAATGTGGGCACGTTTCGCCTGTTTTGGATAGTAGACGCAATTAAAGTAGTAGATGACGCAATTCAAAGCTTTTGTTTGCTTTGTGCATGCAAACATTAACTTCAACAAATGGGACATAATTTCCAATCAATCCATTGCTGAGTATATTTTTCAATAGAGAAAACGTCAATGACAAATCGTGTCAACAACAAAAATACTGTCGCAAACAAATGTGTTTGCATCATGTCTGGAAAGCAGTTTTCGGCTGGCAGGGCAGTTAATGGTGCGGGGTCTGTTCCCCACGCAGGGGTGGAGTTGATCGCCTCCGGACTGCTGTCGCGCAGTTTGGCACAAACAATAAAACCTCGGAGCGGCCGGCGACTCGTGGCGCACCGCCTGATAAGGGCGGCGGCGGCGGCGGCGGCGGCGCATCCACTCCCCGGGCCGAGGCTCCACATTCCCTCAACAACCGAGAGAGAGAGAGAGAGAGGGAGAGGGGGAGAGAGAGAGGGGGAGCTGCGGGCTGAAATGCGTGCGGGTGATCTGGAGCACAATCACAAAGCCCGGCGTTATCGCACCGCTCCATGCGCGCCGCGGCGGGATCGGGCGCGCGGCAGAAGGTGCGCGCACGTGGGCGCACACTTGTCTGTTTGAGTCAGTGGCCGATACAAACAAATAAATAACCGTGAGAACAATAGCTGGAAGGATAAAGTGTGGGAGGGAGGAGGAGGGGGGAGAGGGAGGGGGAGCCACGATGTCGAACTCGCGGAGGTCTTCCGGCGCGGCGCGAGGGAAGAGACCCCCGGATCTGGAACTTTCGGAACCTGCGTTCCGCGCGCCCGACGCCGGGGCGCTCGGGGGCGACGACGCGTCCTCCGGGAGAGAGCGCATGCCGGAGGACGGCAACGCCGCCGCCACAGATGGGCCCAATGTTTACCTCCACCCGTACTTATCTCACCCGCGGATGTCTGTGCGCATGTCGGTGTACAGCACCGGGATCCGTCCGGTCCTCACCCGCGCGCACATCCAGGGACAAGTGTATAACTTCCTGGAAAGGCCGTCCGGCTGGAAATGCTTCGTGTATCACTTCACAGTGTGAGTGTTTTTTTGTTTTTTTTCTTTCCTTATTGTTGTTTTCATAGTCCTCCTTTTCTCTTGGGTATTCAAGGGTATAATTGCAACTCTAAGATCCTAATTAAACAGGGAGTTAATTGCACATCTTCTCTCTGAAGCTCTCGCTTCAAAGAGGTGTTAAGCCTGTGGATCTTCAGATGCTGCAGGGATACGACAGAAGGACTGGCCGATCCCTCAAGGAATATTATAAGTACATACGAGTCGAGCAGATTAAAATACACCATATAATTCATCACAGGCGAGAGAGAAAAAAAAGGCGTCCTCCCGGGAGTACCAAAGGATTATTATAAAGATCCATCATTTAGCAGACTACTTCTCCTCAGCACCACTGTGCACTTTGAGTTCTAAAACACTGAGTTGGTTTTCCTTCAGCGAGGCTTCGCAACCTGACAGGGGACGTTTCAGCACTTGTTTTCCTTCCCGGCAGCGTGACGTGTACGTGAGACTTGTTTAATGAAAAATGAAGTATAAATTATAGAGCTAAAGATCATAGCATCCTGCTACACGTCCTGGTGTAATCCAGTGTGGGATGTCACATTATGCTGCCACATTACAAAAATAGCCGTGACAGCTTTTCAGGTGGCTTGAAAAAAAAAATGAAGAGCTACTCGTGATGAACGTGTTGTTTATACACCGGCGATGTGACGCAAAAGGATACACTTCATTTTGTTTTTCTGTCTCGGTATCAGCCACATCCGGGAAACCGCCAGTCGAGCGGATCCAAAAAGGAGCGTTCGGGTTTAAGAATGTGGGACATGATCCTCCGGCTCTCACCCCCCCTATGTGGGCCGTCTGTCCTGGCTTGCTGGCACTGATAGCGGGCAGCTAAACTTGGCAGTGTGTGTGTGTGTGTGTGGGAGGTAGCGGTCCCCGCCGGGCGCCGCCACCCTGTGACCTCGTAGTGTCAGAGGGGCGGCACGGCGACGCGGCCTGTCGGAGCGGATCAGGGGTCTCGGTGACTCAGAGCCGACGCGATGCAACTCCACCACAATGGGGGGCATCACCAGGAATAACAACACGACTAATGGGGGGGGGGCTGCTGTGATCACGGGGAGATCTTCGTACATGCATTTCAAATGTCGTGCTGTTAGACGAAGGTGAGATGCGGTGCCGGCGACCTTCCCGCAAGGGGTCAGAATTCACAGAGTGACAGGAGACACCCTGAAGCCGTACTTGAAATAGAAAATCAATATGTTGTTCAAAAAGCCACAGTGTCAGAGGCCCGTTTCCCTCCTTTTGTTTGCTGGTGATGCTTCACCTTTACCGCTGTGACGCGATGTTAAGGATGGAACCAAAGTGTAGACGGTGACCGGTGGCAGCTCAGGCTGACCTTTTGAACTAAACCCCCCCCCGCCAGGACACGGTGGGACTGCCTCCTCTGATCCTCAGTTTGGCACCTGGTTTTGGCGAGAGTTTAACAAGTTTCTCCTTATCACGGACCCACAACTCCCACGTCCGAGTGACCCGAGGCGTTATCAGGTACCCTCGTGTGTGTGTGCGAGTGTTTGCACATGTGTGTGTGTGTGTGTGTGTGTGTAGTGATACAGTCGGCTGGCTGGAGTCGTTATGGGGTCATTATGGTAAAAGAAAAGCAACAGATCATAGAACTGGAAGCAAAGGTGCTGTATTTTTTAGCTTCAAGCAATTAATAAAGCAGATCCGTGCTCCCGAACCTCAGTTGGGTTACACTTGGTTTGGAGCAGCGTGGATCCACTCCCACACGCTGGTTACAGATGAGTCCACCAGGGGAGTTGAGACAAAAACAGAATTCTGAGTTCTATCCAGACTCGGATCCGTTGAAGCAGATATATCTGTCAAACAGCAGCAATTTGAAGGAAGACACCGTTTTTCTTTTATGATTTCACTAAGTTTGAGGATGTTCTTCTGTCTCTACTGCGTCCTTTAGTTTAGGAACTGGGGAACAGACATATATAGATTTTTCTTTCCTCTGTTTTTTTGTTACAAAAGACAGGAGTTAGCGTTCCAAACGGAGAACGTCACGTTTTACCGCTCAGCCGTTGACCCCATACAGGCCAAAGGTCAAATACCAGACCTTCAATCCTCATCTGCATTCGTCCTAACCCGTTTGCTGTTGCGTTGCTTTTGCTTGATTCATCAACCGGTGAATCCACGCATCAAAAGGACGGATTGGGGGGGGGGGGGGCGCGACGCTTTGAGCCTTTTGTGGCTGAGCCGCCGCTTCGTTTTGTCCGCTGCTCCCCCCCCCGAGCACACTGTGAAATATGATGGCGCAGAGGAAGGTCGTCTCAGGCGGCGTGTGCCCCGCATACCGAGCGCGTGTGTTTGCTGAGCGCAATTTAAGCGGAGCCACGGCGGCAAATTACACCCATTAGCATGTGGAAGTGTTTGGCTCCCAAAGTTTGATGCTCATTTGTGTATCTTTTGATCCTCTTTTTCAACTGCGTGTGTCACGTATAGAACATAAGATGGTGTAAATTGCACCCCGCGCTAACGATGTGAGCAATTTTGTTTATGCCGAATGTTCCCCGCGCTCCCTAATGGACACATTTGCTCCCATTTAGTTGTTGTTGTGTTGGGTTCTTCTTCTTCTTCTTCAGTTCCAGCTGCTTTCTGAGCCGTGCAACACGCCCGCTCATCTTCCCCCGAGCAGGTCTCTCCTCTGTCTTTTATCTGTGTTGACGTGTGGCGTGCACGGTCAGGCCTGTGTGCGTGTGCGTGTGTGTTACTTTAAAGTGGGGTATTTGGATTCCTGGCCAGTCGTCAATAAACCCGGACTGTAGCATGTGGTGATAACAGCCTCCACGGGTGCAAACACTGACTGGAAACTCCCTCCACACATAGTTTCCATTGAACGCGCTCCTACATAGGAACAAGGCCGCGGTTCTTCGGGGGGCCGCGGACGTTCTGAACATCGGTCGGTTGAAAGATTGTCCGGATTTTACGTCGGCGAGGAAGCGACATCGTGCTCTCAAGATGGTGCCGGTTCCGTGTTGGTCGTCTTCCAGCACACGCTGTTCTCTTACGCTGTTCACTAAAGTAACCGTATCATTTTTTTAACCGCACGATATCAATTCCTGTGCGCTCGGCATAATCACGGGCCGAGAAGTAGCAGGAAGCACTTGTCCAATAACACAAGACTTTCCCCCAGGAGACGTTGTCCGTGTCCTGTGCGACAGCGGCGTTTGATTTGTTTTTTGAAGCGGGGACTTTATTCTGTAAAAAGATCACATAGCTTTAACAAAGTCGGCTTTCTGGTGACGTCATTGCACTCGGCCTCTCTCTCCTCTTTCTGTCTGATCGCCTCTGTGCCGTCTCTTATTTCATAAATAGTCCACCGGACTGGTTGTATTTAGAAGCTCGGGTGAAGGAGAAACAATGTCGATGTCCATCCACGTTTTGATACCCGTACGCGGCAGACGGGCGTACATTGAACAAATTGAAATGGTGTGAAAACACAACCTCAAGCCACGGCCTGGACGGCGAACGCCATACGAGACTAAAGGAAAAAAAAGCCGGATCTCTGCGGGGCTCAATCACCAGCGAACGATGGTGAGTTCGAAGAGGCCTCTTCGCCTTTATTACAGTCGGCTTTCCAATCCTCCTCCGCTGCCGTCCAATTAAACCGGATCTCCGTCTCCCGGCTGTGAACAGCGGTGAGAAGGTTAACCACGGGAGTTCATTGGGCGTCACAAAGGCAGCAGCGTGCACAGCCCTTAGTCAAATAAGCTGTCCTTCAGAGAAGCAGATTGCGAGAGTCAATAACTCGAGCGTCGCGGCAACTCCGAAGAGCCTGAAGAAGAGTCGCATTTCTTCCTTAGTTGCGCGTCCCGTCGTTGCTCCATTCAAACACGTGTGACCTTGAGGTGGAAAGAGCACGACGTCAAGGAGCCATTCGGTGTTTGCTGACTGCATGCGTGTCCGTGTGTGCGCTCGTTATTTGTCGAGTTTATCGCGCGCGCTGCGTTCACATGGCGGAGTCCAAACGGTCCACAGCGTTTCTGCCAATGTTTGTTTGAATTCAGTCCGATTCTTTTCATGACAAAAACATTAAGTCAGGTTTTGCTTTTTTTTGCAGAAACCAGCTTCGTTGTACGAATCAGAGTGAAATGTGAGGTTTGACTTTGATTTGAGGAAAATTGAGTTAAACCACAACTTGTTGGATATTTTTATCCGACTGTAAAGGGAATAACAACTGCCACGACCAACATAATACTTACAAATGTGACTCTTTAATCCTATTTCAATGGTGGATTCCATCCCCGTTCCTCATACTAACTTGAGTCAGGACTAATCTGCTTTGTGTCCTCAGGTTCCTCATCGTTCTGGCCTGTCTCATCCTCAGCGTCCTGTCCACCATCGACCAGTACCAGGCGCTGGCTCACACGACGCTCTTCTGGGTGGTGAGTGCTGGACTTGATCAAATTGCAAAATGACTCTTTGGATTAACCATTAATGCATTGTTTTGTCTCCGCGTGGTCGCATTGTACGATTACATCGACCTCCTACGGGAGGCTTTAATTAAAAGCCTAAAGATTAATTGAATCCCAATAAGAGTGTCCTTACCCTGCGAGTGGAGCGGCCGAAAAACCGCAACGTCCCGGTCTTAAAAAAATCAATTTAACAACAAACTTAACAACCTTAAACTCCTTAAACCTCCTTTCTATTGGACATCAAGCGAGCAACTTCTCTGGTCACAGAAAGGGTTGAAAAATGACTCTACCTCTGCTTTGATTTATTACCTTCACGGTCTCAATCTCCAGTTTCACTTTGTGTAAATCAGGGTCCAGTTCAGAGTAACGTAGACTATCAAGCAGGCCATGCTTTAGGCGAAGCTATGATCGGTTGCTACGGCAATGCTTTAACTTTTAGCATCTGGTCATGTCTGGTATCCTAAAGAGAAAATGCAGAAGACAAGGCCTCAAGCCAACGGGTGACCTCACAGGGGTCATGTCCACTTCCTATAAACTGTCGGTGCTCAAAACGAGAGACTTTGAAGCCCTGATCGGGGGCAGAAAGCTCGTCTGCTCCCCAAACAAGCAGGACAATTAGTTTTCTTCACTACAAGAGACGTACTTGTACGCTGCTAACAGCTGCAGCCTGGAGATCCATGTCGCATCTCCGTTGTGGGTCAGTTTGTTCTCAAGCAGACGATATGACGGCGGACCGAGTGACTCAATCCCTCCCTCAAAGATCAGCAACATGTTTTGCAATTACGAGTCGGGAAATCTGTTTGTAACCCTTGCAACAACTATGGAGAGTAAAAAGAAACAAAACATGAGAAAACTGTGAGGATTGTGGTATATTCCCATAGTGCCACACTAACATGGACGAAATAGCTTGTGTCTTTTAACATACATATATTCAGTATATATATATTTTGCAGTTGCGTGGAGTCAGACCTTTAGGATGTGTTTGGCCGAGAATCACTGAGCGTAAACAAACGCCGCGTCTGCTTGCAGGAACGTCCTCGTTCTGTGCGCTTTAATGATCCAGCTCAGTGGTCCATGAACCACGAGTGTCTGACCGATGCTGCACGAGGAGAGCGATCGCTGCTGGAGAGCCTGAACCTCCCATCCAATCTAAATGTTTCCTCGTAATGCTGCTGTTTTGGGTCGGATGCAGCCTGTAGTCGCCTTGCGGCGCTCTGATCTGCTCTTTGCTTTGACTTCCACCATCTGCTCGCCACTTCTGGGGTGGGGGGGGGGGGGTTCTCATTTTTGTTGGCTGGCATCTGCAAATGCCCCGATTCTGATTTTGTTGCCTTTGCCGTGTCACGTCTCACAAGTAAACGGAAAAGGAAACGATGCTCGTGTAACAATGCCGCGTTGAGTCCACGTAAAGTTCCATGAAAGGACTTCTGTATATTGAATATTAGTTTATCCTTAAGCACTTGTTAGTTAAACAGTAAAAGGACTTTCTCTCAAAAGCTGCAACCATCTACGCCGCATTTGTGGCAGCGTTGCTAAGACAACAAATATAAAACTCCAGGTTCTTTTTTGTTGGAAAATCAATTTCGCATGTTGACTGACCGACCCGCTGCCGGCCGGAGAAAACCAGCATCGACAGTTTTTTTTACCCTGCAAACAATTTCGTGGCGCCCTGCTGGCCTTAAAGGGCAACAGCTCCTCCTCTAAAGTCAATAGGAACTGTTGGAAATGTTGAAACCTGACACGCTGGATGCTGAGCGCCGGAGCTGTTTGGGGGCGTCGGGTGAGTCACTCGAGCTCCGACACAAAGAAGAAGGATAAAAAGGGGTTCAAGTGAGGATTGAGGGGTTTTCCGTGCGCGCCGCATGCGACGCGTTCACCTCGGCCCGCGGGTGACGGGAGGTGGAGCCGACGCGTCGCAGTCTCAAATCCTCCATCGTCCGTTGTTGGGGCGCAAAGAGGCTCCTCTGTCCCAGTCACACCTGTAGTATCTGCTGGCAAAACACCAAAAGGTCTTTTAATTTCATGGCAAGTTCACCGGGGAGCAACGATAACGAATTATCATATCCGCCACGCTGCTAAAGCTGGAGAAATCTCCAGCATTCATCGTTCCCCCGCTGCGGCCCGAGGGGGCTGTTTTTTGTCCCTGGTGCTTTTTAGTTCAGAGATTCGCTGTGTCCCTGCCAGTGCCCCCCCCCCCCAACAAAGAGGCATCTCCTTTGTCTCGCTGCTTTCTTCCTGCACACTCAAGGTAACAGAGACCGCGCTGTTCTCTACTTGGAGATGCGGCGGCGTGTTTGTAGCTGTGTGTTTGGCCAGATGCTCCCCCCCCCCCCGCAAAAAGAAATCCATATTCCAAAAAGGTTTCTTCCCCCAAAAAAAGAGATAAAATCTTTTTTTTTTAAAAAAAGGTGGGTTTTTGAAATTTTTTTATCAGAAATTGAGTATTCAGGTGATCCTTTATACAAAAGGGGTGGACTCCCCCCTCCCAAGGGGGCCCCCCCGGGGGGGGGGGGTGAAACGAGGCTTGAATGGGGATCGAAGGCGGGTTCGGGTTAGAAGTTGTTGTGGAGTGGGGACAATAACTAGAAAAGGTGTTTCATCCCCTCTGTGGTGACAGAAAAGGAGGATTTAGTTGCCGAGGGACGTGACGGAGAAAGAGATCCGCTGGAGGTAGATGGAGTAGAATAAGTGTTGGTGTTTCTTTCTCACTTCACATGATTATAATGATTATTTAAACCTCTAACCAGGAGTTACTGCAAACCCGAACTGAGCCTAATGGACAGAGAACACCTTTTTCCGTTAACAGCCAAGATTGTAAAAGAGCGTCGGTGTAATAACAGTAATTACAATAACGATAATGCCCGAAGAACAAACATAAAGTAAGAGAAACTTCCCGGCTCCAAGTGGAGGCTTAAACCCGGCAGCCAACAGCTGCTCCGCTCAAAGAAGTTTCAGAAGTTCTCCTCCATGTTTGATGCTCCTCGACCGTGGGAATAGTCGTCGACAGCGACGCCTCAAACGCAGGTTCACTTTCTTCATTGTTCCGGAGTTTCTCATTTTGTTTTAGATGGAGCTTTTGCTTTTCAACCTTGAAGTAGAAATATAAACTCAAGAATATGTTATTTTACATTCTGTCTTTCAAGAAAACACCGTATCACACGGCGGATGGTGATTTGTTGTTTTCTCTACATCTTCACGTCTTTGGCTCTCATGAAGGAAAAAGCACTTCATCAGTTCCGAGCTGAAACGACCACCTGCTGTGCAGCATGAAATAAATCCCCAGCCTCGATGGCCCCGGTGCTTCCTGCCGTCATCCGCGTCACCGTTAAAAATCTATAGGGTCACTTTCCGACAGCTTCATTCCAAATTCTTGTCAATGACTAAAAAAAGAACAACGGAGGGAAATCTGTTTGCAGTTCATCCATTTCCACGTGCCGATGTAGTTGTGCGCTGTAATTGATTTTCTTCTAATCCGTTTGTCCTCGAGGGGCACCGGAGGAATTGAAACGCAGCAGCTTTAATTGAGAAGCTCTAATTGTACGAGCCTCCTGTTTAGCATCGGACGCGTGCTGCTGTGGCTTGTTTCGCTTTATTGTCAAGCAAATTAAAAGTAATGACGACGAAGAAAGAGAGAAAGAAGGGATTCAGATGTGGTACGTTGGATATCAGCCCATTAGCTTAGCTTAGCTTTAGCACAACGACGAGACGCGCGGGGAAATAGCTAAAAGAAATGTGCCTCTAAAAGTCACTAGTTACCAATCTAAGATGGAAATTTGTTTTAAAAAGCCGTTATGGATTCAACGAGAGGAAACTGACACGTCCAAAAACTTTTAAGTGGATAAACAAATGGGGACAAAGCGAAATTAATGCGCTTTGGAGCTGCTGCTCGGTGCCTTTGGACAACGACGGCTCATTTCCAGTCTTTGTGTTAAGTGAAGCGGGTTCACTTTCAACCACAAGGTCGAGGGATCAATCCCCCAAAGAGTCCCTCGCTTGTTTCCCGAGGGGGTTCACAGGGACAGGATGAGTTAAACGCTGAGGTCAAATGCTAGAATGCGTGTGGATGAGGGGCAAAGAAAAGAGCCAAGATATTTTACATCTGCTGTTACATGATTGTAGGTTTTACTTCTATTTATATTCAATAAATAGAGATGTTTGATAGTCATTCTATCCACATTACCGATACTAACAACAAAAAACAACATAATACTCCAAATCCCATGTATTGTAGGTATTGTTCCCAATATCTCGAGCCCTTCCTCTCATTAAACACATTGGATTTAACAAATATAGATCAAACTATTTGCCAAGGTGATGAAATCTTATTTTTTTCATCAGGTCTGAGCACGTGTAGAACAAAGCAGAGGATGAATCAAAGGAAACAGTGACAAACGGCACAGCTGGTGATTGAGAATCGATAATCCGTAATGAATAAATGAAGAAGCGACACTTGGGGAAAAGAAGAGGAATTCAAAAACAGCAGTTGTGCAATCGTTGCATCTAAAAAAAAAAGAAAAAGAAATCCGTTTTAGAGCACAGCCTGAGCAGCTGTTCAGGTGTTGCACTCGATGACTTGCAACAACAGCCAATGTCCTTCCAGCTCATTTGTGTCTCCCTCCTTCCTCTGGCAGGAGATCGTCCTTGTGGTGTTCTTCGGTGTGGAATACTTTGTCCGCCTCTGGTCAGCCGGCTGCCGCAGTAAATATGTCGGCATCTGTGGCCGACTGCGCTTCGCGAGGAAGCCGATATCTATAATAGGTGTGAATACGCCACACACACACACACACACACGCGCACACACACACGCGTGTATCTATACAAACACGCGTGCCGCCTCTCACCCACACAGTATCTTCAAACAGCATCCGTGATGTGTACGGAGCTGCATCCCAAAATGAGATACCTCAGACAAACTCAGCATGAAATTAAAACTGTCACCGCAATATTTCGTTCTTCCTCCATATTTTTATTCTTAAAATTGGAGCCTCCAGGTGCTTCTTTTAAAATATGCAGCAGTGACTATTAGAATTCACATGATTTGTAACCCATCTCACCTCAACAGGGTTATTTCCTAATCACCTTTCATCCATTTGTGCTTTTCGCTCGTACTCACGCTCAACATCTGCATATCGAACATCTGCATATTAACCCCTCGTTCTCGTTGCACACAGATCTGATTGTGGTTGTTGCCTCAATAATTGTGCTGTCAGTGGGCTCCAAGGGCCAGGTCTTCGCCACCTCCGCTGTAAGGTAAGCGCTGAGGGTCTGATCGAGGACCGAACCCTGCTTCTGTAAGGACAACACTCCATCTTCCTCTTCAGCTGTTTACTGAACTATTGTTTTCAAAAGTTCAACCTCCTCAAGTGTAGGTTTGAAGTAAAGTTTGGATCACATTTTAATTAAATCTATGTTCAGGACCCAGGAGGGGAAATGTAGCTGTTCAGATGACAGCATGTGGTGTTGTCGCCGATGCAACAGCTTAATGTTTCCGATTTCAACACAACAATGACCCCAACTCCCCCCTTCACCCCCCCCCCCCCCCCCCTCCCACTCCACTGCACGAGGCCCGCGAGATAAACGGCCTGCACAGGTCCCTGACCCTGACCCCGATCCGGCCCCTTTGGGAGGATTTGGGGGGGGAGACACCGGATGACGAAACATGTTTGTGGTCTGATGACAATGTCGGGCATTTTACCACCAACCTTTGATATTTTCCAGGGGGATCCGCTTCCTGCAGATCCTCCGAATGCTCCACGTGGACCGGCAGGGGGGGACCTGGCGTCTCCTCGGCTCCGTCGTCTTCATCCATCGACAGGTACTGATGGTGTTGTCGCTCTGAAGGAGGATGCGAGATAACGGGGGTCGATTTTTTTTTTTTTGGTCACAACAGGAAACCGCCACCGATGTAGTGACACCAAGCTCTTAAAAAGTATAATACAGAATAAAATGTTTAAATTCAATGTCAGAGAAAGCGGCTGAAATGATCCCTAATCCTGTTTTGAATACCATCCATGCTCATTGACTAGTGTTTAATGTCTGTGCAGCACACACACACACACACCAAGAGGTGCTTTCACCAAAGATACTACACAAACATCATTTGTGCAACGAGATTCACTTTGGCATAAAATAGCTCATTAGTCCCGGTGGGGCTTCTCGGGCCGTCACGTCTTTTTAAAGGGAAGCTTCTGTGTCAACATCACACCTTAAACGTGTTGTTCCGCCAGCCTCTTACCTCGACGCGCAGAGCTGCAAGCGCATATATTAAGTGTTAAGAGTCAGCGGAGTTCCAGGCACTTCAATCAGCATCCCTTCTCCGGGTTACCACGGCATTTAGAGGAGCGTGCGACGCGCCCGCCGTTCCCAAAAAACACAATTTGCAGCGGATCGGGAGCACACGTTTCCTGAATGTGTTCCCCCGAGTCGCAGCTGCTGCATGTCTAATAAAGCGGCGGCAGTGACTGATGCATCTCCGCTAATCAAACATGTGCGAGTTGCTACGGGCGCCTCGCTTCCGACGGGCTAAACGTCCATAATACAAAAGTGTAGCGGCGTGAGGAAATGACAAAGCGCCCGTTGGGCCGCGCAGTAATCTGTGGTGTGGAATGCAAGGATAGGTCGATTGCCGTTTAACCGGGGGGGGGGGGGGGGGGGGGGCGTTTCTGCAACGGCGCCGCAGTTTCCCCCGGAGGAAAAGTCAGTTTTGGGCCGAGATCAAATAAACAAATTTCACTCTTCGTGAATTCGGGGGGGCGACTTAATGCATTGAGCGCTCCGGCACTCCGAGGGATTAAGCGCAGTTTAAGTGACGTGGCAGGTGAGACGGGATAAGAGCGACGCCCATTTAGGCCGCCGGAGCCAATCACACGCAGCTTCCTGCAATAAGCTTCGTAGGTGTTTTAAACAGCCAGGTGTCAAACCAATTCACACAGAATCCGATCAGCCACCGCGTCCGTGATTATTACAGGACATGCTTCAGCTTTCTACTTTGTTGCACAGATTCAGTTATTTTGGGAGTTTGAGTAATATTGTGTCAATTGTAAAACTAGATGTTTTGGTCCACACATTTGGGGACATTTCAGTCATCGAGATTGATGTAAAATTAAAGGATGAACATTAAACAAACACGAATGCCCTCAAACAAAGTTTGATTCAGAATTTTAAAACTGCCACAAAACGATTAAGAATGCAGCTTTGGAGGTAGAACATCTAGTCCGATGTTGTTAAATCAAGAAAAACATCCAGGCGTGAAACATGTTCTTATTTGCATTTGACTATTAAACAAATAGTGTTCCACAAATGAGGCCTCGGGGTGAATGGAGCATTTTACTCTTTACAGTAGACACTAATTGACCGATGGCTAAGGCCCGCCTCCCGGGTGCTGCTCCGTCGAGCTGTCAAGAGCTCTGTTACCATGGCGATGAAATATCGACGTGAGTGAGAAGCAGACAGAACGATCTACAAGGTTTTCGGGGGGCTGATTCACTTTCACATTGTGATCCGTGGCTTTAACTTCCATCGTTACCTTTTTTCATTTCCCGCTTTCCCTCTTTTTGCATTTGCAATGTTATGAGTTTTTAGAATCTATATTCATATTATATTCAACAGATAAACTACATTCAGCGGGTGTGCAGCCATTCAACGTCAACCTATTAACTGTTTGATGCAGACTTAAGTTTAGCGATAATGTCACCACATCCCACGAAAAAGATCCAATTGGACAGTGGATTGACTTGAGTGTTGTCTGAAGAATCTAATCCTGGTATAATTTACTGCTTTGTGCCCCAGAGCTCCATTGTTGTCCAAAGCATAAAGTGAGCCCCGGCGGTGCAGTGGCGACGTTTGTTTTCATCACAATGAACTCAGTTTATTCAGAGCTAATCCCCCCGTGCAGCATCCTGCTGACATAGATACCCGCTATCTCCCCACGTATGTATTCATCTGTGGCTTAGGAGGGTTAATACAGGCTGGTCCGTGTCTAGCCCCGTTTGAGAAACATTCTAGGAAACACTACAATGCCAAGCTGTTTTTCAGAAAGTCCCAGAAATATATTTAATGACCCATTTTTAAGATGTACGTCTTGTGAAGGAGCAGATCGGGCCTTCGGGCCGTTAAGAAATGGACTCTCGCGTCGCTGCTTTTGGTTCTTTCCGTGGGATTCGTTGACTGAAGGGAAAAAGAAACTTGATAGCATTCCAACCTTTGATAAGTGGCTGCCGCCCCTTCAAGTGTGAATCCACTTTTAGTTTACCAACGAGACAGCCGAGACAGCAGAATACTCAGGAAATATAATTGAATCATTACATTCAGCACATACTTACATGAATATTCACATCCATATGTCATATAAATACACAGCCACCCCAGACCTTTTAATAATAAGGATGCATTTTATTTATAATGCACTTTTCATCAACACCTCTCAGAGTTTATAGTAATAAAACATTTATTTATATAAGGTGCTGCTTTTGTCGAGAAAGTTGCTGTTTTTGTCATCATTGCTGTTTTACTATAGAATTATTGTGCTTACTACTCTCATTATATAACGAATGAATGTCACATGCGTTGACTGTGTACCTGTTCTGTACTCAATGACATCACCTCAGGATGCCTCCCCGACATTCCTTCTCCCAAAGGGGCTTTTGGGGTCGTTTCCTGTGCAGATGTGAGGGTTGCAGGACAGAGGATGTCACATGTGCACAGATCACAGAGCCCTCTGGTGCAAATTTGTGATCGGTTATCACACCCGATGAATTAAGCTGATACATTGTGGCAGTCAGGAGGGGCTGTGAATAGAGTACAGATATATAAATATTCATAGAGCTACTACTACTGTATTGTGCATTTTTGCATCTGTATTGTGTATTTTTGCATCTGTATTGCGTCTTTCAGGAGCTGATCACCACCCTCTACATCGGCTTTCTGAGCCTGATCTTCTCCTCGTACTTCGTCTACCTGGCGGAGAAGGACGCCGTCGACAGCAGCGGCTACAGCGAGTTTGAAAACTACGCGGATGCCCTGTGGTGGGGAGTGGTACGAACCTGTGTGTGTGCGTGTGTGTGGGGGTGTTTGTGTGGCGACTGGCCTAATCAATTCAATGTTCATCCCATTCACATTGGCAGCTCTCTGTGTGCCTCTGGTGGGAAACCTTTAGTGTGTGAGTGGGACACACTGGGCTTCAAGTAGCTACACTTACTTACCAGCGCACAAACATTCACATAAACGCTGCTATATTTCAGAGAAAATACTCTTTCAGTCTCTTTCCCGTCTTGGCAAAAGTTATTATTTCTGCAAAACACATCGAGTTGTTTTAAGTAGTATTTGGCAAGTGAAAGGTCGAAGCACAAACGCTTTTCATGTGCAGTGCTGTTGTTACAGTAGGAGTTGTGTGGAAACCCTCGGGCACATCCAGTGGGCCGCTAATACGAGCAGCGAAACCAGCAGAGGAAACCGAGTGAAAAGGTATTTTCAGGCAATAAGTCACCACCCACTCTGCTCTTCTGAGAGACGTCAGGGGCTGGATGATAAAACACGTACGTAAGACGTCAGATGGATCGCAACCTTCAGGGTGGTTTGTTCGGGGGCCGAGGATGAAGTCACAAATCATTTACACGTCGAGCATACGGTGAATTGCAGACAGAAGGAGCCGCGCTCGGACTGTGTTTGGTGCCGCAGCTCGGCGCGGTTCAATGGACGGGGTCGATGGACGGGGTTTGAGGGACGGGGTTTGAGGGACGGGGTTTGAGGGATGGGGTTTGAGGGATGGGGTTTGAGGGACGGGGTTTGAGGGATGGGGTTTGAGGGACGGGGTTTGAGGGACAGGGTTCGATGGACGGGGTTTGAGGGACGGGGTTCGAGGGACGGGGTTTGAGGGACGGGGTTCGATGGACGGGGTTTGAGGGACGGGGTTTGAGGGACGGGGTTTGAGGGATGGGGTTTGAGGGATGGGGTTTGAGGGACGGGGTTTGAGGGATGGGGTTTGAGGGACGGGGTTTGAGGGACAGGGTTCGATGGACGGGGTTTGAGGGACGGGGTTCGAGGGACGGGGTTTGAGGGACGGGGTTCGATGGACGGGGTTTGAGGGACGGGTTCGATGGACGGGGTTTGAGGGACGGGGTTCGAGGGACGGGGTTTGAGGGACGGGGTTTGAGGGATGGGGTTTGAGGGATGGGGTTTGAGGGACGGGGTTTGAGGGACAGGGTTCGATGGACGGGGTTTGAGGGACGGGTTTGAGGGACGGGTTCGATGGACGGGGTTCGATGGACGGGGTTTGAGGGACGGGGTTCGAGGGACGGGGTTTGAGGGACGGGGTTCGAGGGACGGGGTTTGAGGGACAGGGTTCGATGGACGGGGTTTGAGGGACGGGGTTCGAGGGACGGGGTTTGAGGGACGGGGTTCGATGGACGGGGTTTGAGGGATGGGGTTTGAGGGACAGGGTTCGATGGACGGGGTTTGAGGGACGGGGTTTGAGGGATGGGGTTTGAGGGACAGGGTTCGATGGACGGGGTTTGAGGGACGGGGTTTGAGGGATGGGGTTTGAGGGACAGGGTTCGATGGACGGGGTTTGAGGGACGGGGTTCGAGGGACGGGGTTTGAGGAACGGGTTCGATGGACGGGGTTTGAGGGACAGGGTTCGATGGACGGGGTTTGAGGGACAGGTTTTCCCTCGTGTGGATTTGTTAAGATGCCGTATGATCTGCTCTCTGTTTCAATACAAAAAACCATTAAAACCACACGAAAAGGCTTCACGAACTCAAGTGTGAAATCCTCCGTTTTGTGACTAATCATCAAATCTACGGATCGCTGGTTTCTAAAGTGAAGCTTTTCCGCGTTCGTTCTCGAAGGTGACTGTGACGACCATCGGATACGGAGACAAAGTCCCACAAACCTGGATCGGAAAGACCATCGCATCCTGTTTCTCCGTCTTTGCCATTTCCTTCTTCGCTCTGCCTGCAGTAAGTGGAGAAGAGACGCTTCTTTCTCGCTTAATCGTAAAAAAAAATTCATTTGGATAAATGTCATCTTTTTTTATATTTTGGGTGCACTGTTGTTAATGGCGAGGGAGAGACCATCTCCCCATCTGAGAATAATAATAATAATAATTCTGATAAAGATTTAGCATTAAGCATAGTTAGCGCTCAAAGTATATCCAGATGTGGTTCAACGTCTGGAGAAGCGAGGAATCTCGTCGGCGCCGAGCTAACGAGCGCCGCCGTTCACAGGGGATCCTGGGCTCCGGCTTCGCCCTGAAGGTGCAGCAGAAGCAGAGACAGAAACACTTCAACAGGCAGATCCCCGCGGCGGCCTGCCTCATTCAGGTATTTGTCCACAGAAGAACGCGGAGACAGAACCGCCACTCGGAGACGCCACCTCGTCACTGAGGCCGTCCTGTCTTGCGACAAAATGAGTCCCGTGCGAGCAACGCGCGGCTTTTCTTTTCATCCCCTTCAGACGTCGTGGAGGTGTTTCGCCGTGGAGAACTTTGATTCTGTCACGTTCAAGAAGTTTCTGAAGAAGAGAGCCCACATCCCCGCCTCCTCTCTGTCCACCCTCAAGCCCAAGAAATCGGTTAGTAAGCGTTTAATACATTTCACTGTAACTTCCCCTCACTCGGTTTCCAGCTCAGTGGGAGGACCGAGGCGGAACTGAAAGAGCTGTGAATCCCGCCGTCAAGAAGGTAATAATGTTCCTTTTTCTTGGAAACGGGCGTTGGATTCAACACCGTGTGCAGAAGCAACGAACTGGGCCCTCAAATGACGACTAAAGGGACGCTACTTAAGTGACACATGCATTTGCTGCTTGACACGGTTTGAATTGTTTGTCCCGCGCCTTTTTTGCACTCCATGTTCACTCACTGATAGCGCCGCCAAACGCGAGGACCGTCTAACCCGTTCCCACCCAGACGTGCCCGTAATGTATGCCGTTATATTTGTGCCACAATCCTGAGCGCGTAATTGTAAGTTTTGAGCACAGAGAACTATATTTTAGCAAAGAAAAACAGCCGCTCGCTCGACTTGCAGCAGCGTTACATTTGTGCCACAAAACCAACCAATCAGAGAGTTAAAGAAGGTCCATTGTGATTGGCTGTTGGTCTCCAATCACAACGCTAGTAGAACTACCTACAGCATCGCGGAAGCTCAGCGAGTTGTTGAAGTTTGCAGCATTTGTGCTAAATGCTAATGGCCTGGATGAAAACACTTGCTGTTCTCATCATTTGCTTCGGTCATGTCTGATGGTGGGTAGCCGGACTTCTAATATCACTTTTTTTCGTCTTCTTTAGGAAGCGTTGTGATTGGAGACCAACAGCCAATCGCAATTGACCTTCTTTAACTCTCTGATTGGTTGGTTTTGTGGCACAAACGTAACGCTGCTGCAAGTCGAGCGAGCGCAGCGTGAAGAGGTGGAGAGAGAGCGCAGCAACGGCTGCCTGCGCGCAGAAAACCAGTTCTCTGTGCTCAAAACTTACAATTACGCGCTCAGGATTGTGGCACAAATATAACGGCATAGTAATGCACAACGCTCGCGAGTGTCTCGCACGAGGACACGAGGACGGAGAGCTGAGCTGGGACGACCACAGCCGCACCTGCTTGTGCTGCACGACAAACCGTCTGCTGCGCATTCACACCCACGAGGTCGTAGCAAATACAGTGTTACAACAAGGCCTCTCTCGCACAACTACTCAACAACCAATGGCGTGCACAGGAAAACACACACACACACGTCACCGTGCAGCTTTCCACACAAAGGTCTTCTTCCTCTGCTGCAGACCCTTTTGCAACGGCGTCTTCCACTGAAAGAGACCTTAGCTGAAACAATACACAAGTACTCACATCATCATTTTCTCTGTATTCATTTAATGAATTCATGTTTTGCAGCTTGAATAATACATGCTGCTCGAGGAAGCTTTTCAAAGGCACTTGATAACAATTTAAAGGGACAAGGAGTTTTTAAGAGTTCACCACGGACGCCCTTAAGTTTTTCTATGGAGGCTTTCCGCTGGTCTTAAGTGTCAATCAATGGATCTCGGACCCCCCACCCACTATGTTCTTTGCACATTCATTTATTTTCATGGTGAAATCTGATTGAAAGAAGTGCCCCAGTGGGACTTCTGTAATGCTCAGTTCATCGGTGATTCATAAGTGATATAAATTACAGGGAAAGAGGAGCCACCCGCCACTAACGACTGGGAAATACACTATCGTATTTATGTCGTGATTTGAAGGATTCAAAACTGGTTGATAAACCATTCAATTTACTTTTAAAAGAATTAGCGTCCTTTGTGTGCAGGGAGGCAGAAAAGGGAATCAGATGCATCCAAGAGAGCTGGCGGCAGTTAAATATTAATACAAATTTTACAATTCAACGGGTTGAATTTTTGCGGTTGAATTTTTTGCGGTTGAATTTTTTGCGGTTGAATTTTTGTGGTTGCATTTTTTGCAATATTTTAACATTGAAAAACATTCAGATTCCAATGCATAAATATTCAACTGCAAAAAATTCAATCACCGTTTTCTTTCAAAATCCGATGACAAAGTACGTCAAATATTTTGTACTAATATAATATAAACAATCATCCTGCGCTGCTGGACCTGGGGCCTTAATCACTGCGCATGCATTCACTGTCCAATCGACGTAACCGGAGCAACGGCAGCCCTGATGGCGCGTACGGAGGAGGGAACGCGGTGAACAGGAAGGCTTGAGCTGAGATGTTTGCATTCCTTGGGCAGGTGAAGACAAGGAGGAAGCCGAGGAGCAGCGACAAGGACAACGGCCCCACGTCTCCCACCGTCCCCAGCATCACCTACAGCAACGTGTTCGACAGCGGGAGGGAGCTGAGTTCGGACGTTTACAGCACGGTGGGCACAGGTACGCGAGACAAGGCACACGCTGGCAGCACAAAGCGCCGCCTCCTGAGCATCTGAACCGCTCACGGGGCTTCATTTCGATCTAAACAGGCCTGCGCAACGTCGTCGAGATGCTGCTCGAGCAGGACGGGAAAGAACTGCTGCAGCACCGGGGTGCAAAAAAGGGAAAAATACGCAGAGATGATGGAGTAAAAGGGAAATGTTTGATTTGAGCGTTCCGTGGTGGGGTGGCAGCCGCAGATGTGGGCAAGGTCCAGACATTAAAGATGAATGAGCACATTGCAGCAGTAAAATGTGACGCTCGCACCGATGAGCAGATTCTCCGGAGCTGGACTGCTGAACGGAAGAAAACGTCACACGGGAGAAACCGCCGTCACCACCGAGCGATGTCGACGAGCCTTTTCAAATCCGAAAGCTGCAACAAATGGGGACAAATGGAGACAAATCGTGTCTCCGTCCCTCACTGTCCGCAGACAAGAAGTAGGTGGGTGTCGTCATCGAGTGACGTCACCTGTCGGTTTGTGGGCTGGCGTTTTTAAGCGTTGCGTTCCCCTTATTTTGCGGTCGCCATATTGGATTTCAGCTATCGCCATGTTGGTGTTTTCTGCAAAAAATTTACCCCTCTAACACAGTGGGAGAGCGACGCACAGGGGGGTGGAGAGGGCGCGCTGGGAACCCGAAGGGTTGTTGAAGCCCGGCTGCTCCATGTCCGGCGCTGAAGTGTCTCTGAGCAAGACACCTGACTGCTCCGTGAATTGGTTCGAGTCTTGATTACTTCGTTCATGGCCATTAATGCCTTTAATGCCTTTAATACCTGCAAAACCAGTAGCGTTCCCATCAGCTCAAGTTGTTGTTTGTGTCAGAGCGCGTTAGCGAACGTTAGCATGCTAACGCAGTAAACCAAGATGGTGGACGTGGTTATACATAACATTATACCGGCTTAAATACCACTGTACTTTAGGAGAGTAATGGGATCGTTCCAGTGTTATTCAGTCAATCTATGTTCACTTCATGATTGTCTGATAACATTAAGGAGAGAAATGAAATAAGGCGCCAGCAAAACACGTTTCACAGATGTTTGTGTTTTTTCACGGGCAGATTTAGTGTTTTTTGGTTTGTTGTGCTTTACTTTTCAACCCTTACTCGAACTGCAAATATTGCCATTGGCTGTGGTAAAGAAGCAGCCCTGTTTCTAAAGTGTTTTCTGAAGTAAAGCTTTTGACTATTTATGGTCAAACTATAAATAGTGCACCGTAAAATCACCACAAAAGCCCTGCAAGTGCAGTGAATAAAAAAAGGCATTATCAGCCCAATGTACTTAGCTGTTGTTATCTGTTCAAAGTGGAGCTTTCAATTAGAATATAACGCCTAACAGTTGCATGAATAATAATGCATTCTATTTGGCTGTGGCCCTCAGGCCCAAAGTAGCTACCTATAGTAAAAAAGGCCTCTGGTGGTGATTCTTCAGTGAACTAGAATGTATTTCGCGTGCTTCTGACAGGAGGAAGCTGCAGCTGCAAAACATTGCTCTACACACAAGAAAACATACCGAGCGTGAAAGTTGTTTGTATAATTGGTTCTCGAGAGAGAGATGCAAGTGTTGGAAGTGTTACAACATAAATGATCCTCTGCGATCTTCTGCCGTCTCCAACACACAGGATAAAAGTAACCGGGACTATTCCATCAAACCTAAACGCTGCCCCAGAGGAACAAACACCCACTAATTACAAAGCATCTTTGAAATCACTTCATTATTATTTTCTTTTTTAATTCATTTCATTTCCCGTGTTTATTGCTTTTAACTCGAATCGCGTCCCTCGACGACTTTTCCTAATTTTATGTTTTGCTTGTCTTTGTAAACTCTACCTTGAGAAAAGATTTAATAACACTAAGTGAGTCATCGTTAATCAAAGAAGAGAAGTTATGCGTTCTGTTTGCTTTGTTAGTCAGATTTTCAGGAGAATTATGGAGAAAAAAAACTAACCAACATATTCATAAAACCTGGTGGTGTCGAATGGGCCATTAAATGTGGAAGCATTGACTGTGAATGTCCTCTGAGGTAATAATTATCATCAGCGCCTGAAATACTGAAGTACTTGACCCCTTCTAAGGTACCCAGAAACAATTCAGCACCAAGAAATATTGAAACGTCTCCGGGCTGCATTTTATTTTATTTTTTTGTCCAACATCAAGAAATTAAATATATTTTTACGTTTTTTTTATTTTTTATAAGCAATTGTGAGATTAATTCAGTGAATTCAGGTGAAGAGATGCCACCAAAACATCCAATGGTATTGCTTTGCTACACGTGTGTGGCATGTGACATTCTGTGTAATACAGCAGAGCGAGGACACGATGAGCATGACTGAACGATGCAAACATGTGATGGGGTCTCATCCTTTGCCCCCGAGCCGCCAACCTGCAGCATCACGTATTCGGACCGACGGGCTCCGCTCGCCGCACAGCAACGCGTAGGAATCAGCCCGGTTGTGAAGACGCACACGCGTTTTTTTCCGCTTTGTGTCCAACGGCAATCGGTGTCTTGGATTTTAAGCCGAAAGAGCTTTGGCAGTTTTCTACCGCTCGTCTTCTCATCCACCGCGTGCTGCTTTCAACTGTGAATCATTTAACTAAATTGCCACGTCGCCATCTGGGCCGACTGGATACACGAAGCACTCAGCTGCTGACGGACTCCGCTAATGCCGCTGATCTCATTTCAGTCATTGTTTCAGTTTTTGGGATGTCGAGATTATTATCATTGTTCTGATTATTGAGCAGTTTTAATTAGAAGATACGAGCGATCACACGCTGGTTTTAAGCAGTGTTGGATATATTTCTACTCGTGTTATACTGTAAGTTTATCAGTTCCACCTCGCTGAAATGAAAATTGTGAACTGCAGCAGCTCCAAGGTTAAATGATAATGTTCACTGAACTGTTTTTGAGGGGTTTTAATTCAACTTTCGAGGCTTCAGGGAGGATGCACTTGGTGTGACTATCATGTTACACTCCTTATCCACCAGATTAATATCAATGAGTGGATGATGAATGGCAGAAACATCTGCACATGAATATATATATTTTTTTATACATATATATTTTTTATATATATTTTATATATATTTTTTATACATATATATTTTTATATTTTATTATATATTATTTAAATAATAATATATATATAAAATATATTTATATATTTTTTATATATTTTTTATATATATATATTTGGATTCTGTGTCTTCCGTTCCTCCCCGGATGCCGCTTCAGCAGGACGCCACCCGTTGGGCGGATGTGTTGAGCTCCTGTTGGTGTCCTCAGTGTCCTCTCTTACTGCCCTTTCCAGCCGCCTCCTTTATCTTCTTAGGTACCCTTAAAAGCCGTCCTTCTTTGTTTGTGGATCCCCAGCGTGACGAATGGAAAGTTGCACGTGTTGCTGGGTTTTTAACATGGATGACGTTTGTGATTCTTCAGATTGCCAGCAGTCCTGGACGTCGTTGTCGTCCCTCCAGTTTGGCTCACCTCCTCCAGGTAACCAGCATCGCATGTGTCCCGTGTAGATTGAGTTAAAAGCGTGGACATCTCGCTTGCTGGGAGTGCATATGTTCGTATTAGTCGATAGTGTAACGGCTTCCATTTGTTTTACTATGAGAAACACGTTCACAAATATTTCTGTGTGTAATCACAAACCAGCCAGTGGTTGAAAACACTCTCGTTCCTGAGAAACATTATGTAGCTTCTCTGTGTTGGACGCCTGTTGGTCCCGGTAGACTTTACGGTTCTTTTAGAGGGTTCCACACAACGACTCTGCCGTCTCTGCTGCAGACGTGTATATATATATATATATATATATATATATATATATATATATATATATATATATATATATATATGTAGTGGATATTAATGCAACACATTGAAAGGACGATACGTACGTAAGGAGTAAAGATTATTCCCCAGAGGAAATCCAGATGTTTTTTTTCAATGTTGTATTTGTTTTCCTATATTTATTTATCATTTTCCCTCCAGGAAACATCACTCACACTGGTGTCGTGTGGTTCTGATGAGATATCTCAATTCCTGTTGAAGTGATGCTTATTTCCGTTGTGCACTCGAGGGAGCTTCAGGCCAACTGGTGTCAGCTTATTCATCTCAGTGTCCTTTGTCTGTTTGTGAAAATGACCCTTGTGTACACAGAGTACGGTTTCACACAGGAACAAAATGCTTTTGAAACAGCCACAATAAACGTACACGGAATGAAAGGGCAGCGCGGGACAAAGTAGACAATGGACATTTCCACTTAACGTATGTGGACATGAAACGAGGCGAGCTAACACAACACAAAGGCTCATTCATTTCACGCATCCTATTGGACGTTTAAGAGATCAACCGAGACTAAATTAAATAACTGACAAATACACAAATTTACCAACAACGCATCTTATCGACGGTCAAACCAGTTGCTTAGGTCGCTGTTTTAATGAGTTTTATTTAGACGCCCGAAATAACAAAGGCTTTAATGTTTTGTTTTAATATCTGTTAACGCCGACTTGTTCTAGCAAGTGGTTAAATAAGCACTAACTTTAACAAACCGCAGACTTTAATTCTGGCCGCTACTCAAAACACATTACAGTGAAATGCAGATTAGGAAGATGGGGAGGTGCGAGTTAAGCTGTCCGCATACATATTACCCACCTGTGGTCATTGAAGTTATGACAAACATGAAAGATTATTTTAATAGTCTTTGTAAAATCAGCATGGGATTGTTTTGCATGACATGAATGAAGACGAAGGGAAGCACGGCCCTTCGGGGGCACACCACGCAAACGTACGGGTTAACCGCGGTCGGCGTCATGGGGTCATGAGTGTCCTGCACGCACAGAGATGTCGCTGACCAGTGTGTGTGTCCCCCCCCCTCATGTGTGTGTGAACGCGCAGCGGAAAGACGGCGGCCGGGCCTCCTGGACGTCCACTCGCCCGGCCCCCTCCGGCGGAACTGCAGCTTTGCCGACGACCTGGACGCGGAGGCCGAGCGCGACGGCGAGCTCGCTCCCGTCACCTCCCTGTCGCAGTGAGTGCAAAGCGATGGGATTGCGCCCGGTGTCTTGTGTGTGCTGCGTTGCTCCTCGCCAATTAACCCCCATACGTGCCGAACCCCCGGGGAGCCGACGTGAAAGGAAACGAGCGTTAACTGTCAGAGGTGCAATGGAAGGTGCGGGATAAGTGAAAACGAGAAGCGCAACACTTTTGACCCATGGGAGGTCGGGGAGGGGGGGGTTCCTTCCTCATTGGCGGGCGTAACGATGCAGCGAGGGAACCGCGTGCGGTCGGCGAGGATCCCTCCGTTACGTATTGTGTCCAGAAGAAGTAGAGACGGCTCAATTTGGATGATTTGAGTTTGGATTCTGGTTTACGTCACGTGTTCCTCAAAGGGAATGATAAATGAAGGTTTAAAAGGTTTACGCCCCCCCAGAAAGATTTGTCCCACATTTCTCAACGTCACACCGGTTTTTTTTTCTCGTTCTGGCGAAGCAGCCGGAGCGAACGCATGAGAGGACACAAAGTGCAGAATCAGTTGCACGGAGGACGCGCTGAGCCGAGGCGACGGGGCGCTTTGATCAAACACATTGAAGCTCGATCGCGGAGGCAATTTCCATCAAGCCGGCGTGTTTTCAGGGATGGCTGCACAAGTCGGAGTCCCCCTCCAGAACATCCGGCTGTTCACAAAAGAAGAATCACGCTGGTGGGGATTTTAAATAAAAGGCTTTACGAGTTGGATCTTCTCAGAAATGTAGACGTACTGTAGACTGTTTTTTGGGGGGGATGGAATTGGCTTTTCGATGAACGACGGTGAAAGACTTACAAGCCTTTGGTCAAAGACGAGTCCCCCCTTTCAGGTCCCGTCCCCAGCTGACACGCAGATGTTACCGCGGGTCGACTCGCTTTCCATGTTTCTTGAAACACGTTGAACTGCTGCGTTGGGCCTCCTCTTGTTGTCCCTCGTGGGGCTTTATTGCAGAAATGTAAATGGATGCCAGTCAACGGCAAGACAAATCGATTGGGCCGTCAATAAAAGAGGTTGTTCCACTTTTTGTTGACGTGCAAAGATAATCTCTTGTATTGACAAGCAACGTATGAGTCATCCATGGCCCGAATGTGATAAAATAACGGGGGTTTTCCGGTGGTCCATTGGAAGGGGCGGGACTTTGCCACTTTATTTAAAACCAATTTAATTCATCTACTGCTTCACTGACTGTGGTTTCTGACACTGACCCCCCCCAAAAAAACGATGTGTTAATCTGGGTGAAGATGAGAAACACTCCCTTTTCAAACTGCACTTTCTGTGCTCTCCATTTGTTCTCCTCGCCGTCTCTTTCCGGGTTCCGTCCCCACCAGTCGTGATGGCGATGGGGCCGCGTGAAAGATCACGCAGCACTTTGCGTTTCACCGTTTGGCTCTAATGTGACAAAATGTTATGATGCATGCGCTGCTTTTGAATGTCAGACCATTAGATACCCGGTGAAAAATCCATTATGAGTCACGGACCTTGTTCCTATACAGCACTTGACAAAGAGCTACTCGCCGCCGCCTCCCGTTCTCATTTACTGCCTTTCCGCGTGAACCCAGATGAGTAATAGCTCCTTAATACGTCCCGCAACATAATAATGGAGCCTCATTTATTCTGAGCTTTCTATTTATGATTTGAAGGACACGTGGCAGTAGCTCACCTAGTCGACATTCAAAGGGAGACGAGGCGCAATTAGAGGCTTTTCCCGTGGCCTGAATAGTAATAACCGCCTCCTCTGAGTTTGGGTGTGACGGCTCCGTCGGCCATCCTTCGTCAGCGACGTGTCCCACGACAGGACCGTGAAGCCCAAAGGTCCAAAGGGATTCGCAGCAGATCGACCTGGTGATTCTTCCCCAAAAAAGGAAAATCGTTCCCTCTGACAATGTTCCCGGCTTTGTTGCATTTTTCTCAGAAGAAATGTGAGTGTGTTTTATTTATTTTCGAGCTGTCGCGCACAGATTGACAGAGTCACACCGGAGAGCCATCCGGGTGATCCAGAGGATGCGTTATTTTGTGGCCAGGAGGAATTTCCAGGTGTGTAAGATCCACACACATGTTTTCAAATTGTTTAAATACTCGACTGACCTCATCCGGGTTCATCATTTAGCCTCATGACATGCACGTAATAACAGTGGTTCTCAACTGGTCAGGCTCCGGGACCCACCATCACCCCCTAATTCTCAACTTCTCTAATTTATTTAATGAAAATATGGTGCAGTTTGAAGCTGAGATAGTGTGGAGACAGAATACGTACGGCAACACAAAAACAAGTTCAATGAAAAAACAAAACGGCCGGCTGTTAATCCTAATTTTTATTTTCCCAGGCAAAGGCCACTAAAAACGGCTCCCACCAGTTGAGAATCGCCGCTTTACAACATGTTAAAACGTCAGCAGCACAAATCGTCCCAGATGTGATTAAATGTTTTTTTCTTCTTCTTCTTCTTCTTCTTCTTCTTTTTTTCACGTAACGGTTTCAAAAAATGTTGATCCCTTTGCAGCAAGCTCGTAAACCGTACGATGTGCGGGACGTGATCGAGCAGTACTCCCAGGGTCACCTCAACCTCATGGTGCGAATCAAGGAGCTTCAGAGGAGGTAAAGCTGGAAGAATTATCCACCGGCCGTAAAGCGTCGCTATGTGTACACCTGACTTTTATATATACATATATATATATACATATTTATATGTATATGTATTTATATATATATATACATATTTATATGTATATGGTTGTTTTTGTCAGGCTGGACCAATCGATAGGGAGGCAAACGTTGTTCCAGTCGGGTTCCGGTAGTGACTCACTCTCAGGACACACATCACAGTGACTGTGGGTCAAACCTCGGTCTTAATCCTCCTGTCTTATTATGTACTTCCCTTCAAAGACCGAGCCAAAGACAAAGGCACCAACTCTATCGGGTCCAGGCTCAACCGGATGGAGGACAAGGTAACGTGTGGGATCATTCCTTTTGAATCGTCGACTATTCACGCGGCCGCGCTTTTTGTTCCTCGCTTTAACTTTGGTGAAAATGTACCGGAAATTCACTCAGCCAAATAAACAGAGAGTATCTGCGGATGACGTTGAGCCGCTTTTTGAACATGGAACATCTGCGCGTTCAACGTGCTCGGGTGCACCTGTTGTCCTTGATTCTAAAAAGAAACTTTCAACAGCTTGTGCTGGTTGAGCGGCGTCCAAAGAGAACCCGTCATGTTGCTTTTTCTTGGTGATGAAAACCTCTAATTAGCACCGTCTGCTGAAGTCTAATTGGGTTCGATGGGTCATTATTCACCGTTTACTGTACAGGAGTAAGATAATCCGGCACAGCTCGAATACTTTAATGCTTTTTGACGGACGAGGGACACGATTGTGAGTTGGAATGACCGTTGAGTTGATCCGTTTCCGCCGCAGATAACGCACATGGACCACACCCTGAACCGCATCGCCGAGTCCCTCACCTCTGTGCTGCACCGGAGGGACGGGCCCGAGGGCGAAGGCGGGCCGAGGCCGCGGCCCCCCGGGCGGAGCCGCGACGTCCTCCCCAGCCGGGACAGCCTGCCCAGCTACGAGCAGCTGTCCTCGTCCCCTCCGTCCTCCACCTCCAACGCGGCCGGCGCCAAGGATCCGGCCGCCGCCGCCGCCGCCAGCCAGGAGGAGAGCGGCTGACGGCTGGGGGGGCTCTGCTCCTCTTCGTGTCATTCGTGAGAGGCGTTCAGGTCGCGTCTGACAAAGTCATGTTACGTCATCAGAAATGCAAAGTGTAGGTTCCATAAAATGTTAATCTGCTGCAAAAATATGCCAAATAATAGACCAAACGTTTTTGTTCAACCACCCTTTTGCCTTTTTGATTTTTCTACATGTCCTTGTAGTTTGAAATCTTTTGGAAATGATTTACAATTTTTTGCTTATTTAAAAATATCACCGGAAATCTGTTCAGGTTAAAGCCAAAGAAGTTGGGCTGTTTCCTCTGGAAAGAAACAAATATAATTCATTCCTATTTAAGGGAAGGGGGCCTTAGATATCAGCTCTTCGCTGGAGAGTTTTCCGTTTAATCAAATAGTGTTTTTCCCTTTTTTAATATTCAGAAATATTCTTCTGTTTGAATAAAAGATTGTTGCAATTATTACCAAGAACTGTCTGCGTTGTGTCTGGTGCCTTCAGGGGAAACAAGATGAATTTGAGTTACGGTTTCGGGTCAGGAGTCTCCTTTATTGTAGTGGGGTGGGAGGGGTCTTGGGGGGGTCTCGGGGGAGGGGGGGGGGCTTTGTTGCTTCCTCGCTGACTTATGTAAAGAGACAGAAGCGGTGGAACTAAGGCCGTGATCCTTACACGAGTGACCTTTGGACGGCAGATGGTGACCCAGCCCCCCCCCCCCCCTGGTGACCATCCAGGGGGGTGTCCAGGCATTCCTTCACACAAGTGCCCGTGTGGAGAAGAGGCCCAAGTGACCATCTGCCTCTGGTGTCCACAACAATGGGCCGACCACCCTCCCAAAGTGTGCTGATGGTGGTCGGCCTTTGTGCCGACCAGGAGGTGGGAGAGCGCAGGGTCCCCCCCCGGGGAGGAGGGTGTGGAGGCTTTAAAGGGACCCCCCGCCCCCCACCCGCCGGGTAAAACGTACAACAGTCATAAACACTGCGTTGAATTTAGTGAATCCTCAGAATAAAACACACACCGCTACAAATGTAGTTAAATGATCTTTTTAACTGCTCTCCAAATAGGTTAATTTATCAAATCAAGGAAGCTTTTTATCTTTAACGCCCCTCACGCCCTCCGGTTTTGTCATTTAGCTCCTTCTACTTCGATCAAACCTGATAAAGAATCAGACGTTATTCCGATTATCACTGACCGGTAAACATAACAGCATACGGTTTTATTTTAGTGGGTGAACATACTTCTGAAATACATTCAGCAGCTGCTGCAGCCGCGAAAACCTCATCTACTGAGCAGCTTGTAGTTACGTGGTTAACAGCATTTAATGAAGCCTAAAGCGTGCGATCCCACGGGGTCATTTGGACCAACGGCAGAGTTTGTTTATTGATTTCTCGATGGGTACAAACACAAATCCATTGTGTGTGGGGGGGCAAAAGATCGTCTGTTCCCAGTTCAGAAAGGACGGCATAACTCTGGCTGTCCTTGGTCTTGAGGTGTTTCCAAAAATGTAAATGTGATGTTTCCTCTTTCTTGTTTTTACGCTTGAACACATTCCCTTCGCCGCAGTATCACACAAATAAACACGAGCCAAAGTGAGAGAATAAACACGGGGCGGGATTGGTTTGGTCCCACGTCGGCTGTCAAAGGGAGCAGGGTGGAGGAATAGACCTGGTGGGGGGGTGGGGGGTCAAGGAGCTCCAAAGGCTGATTTGCAGGTGAAATGGAACGGCACACTCTGGTTTGTGGCCATTGTCCTCCGCGGCCAGATGGCCTGTCTGAGTTCTTTAAAGCTGAAAAGCTCAACTCTGTGGGAGTGAATACGCCTCTGTGGGATTTGGCCCCTCTGATGGGCTAATTTGGCAGCTCAAACGAACGGATATGATTTCAAGCCTGAGAGCACAGTACTTAATATTGCGATGGCGAAACATCTCACAATATAAGCCGGGAAAGCGCAATCACTCAAAAAAGAAAACTTGATTTCTCTACAACTCGAGAGGCACACTCATTATTAGCTCACTCGCTTGTGGCTGCACAAAACCAAAGTTGCGCGTTCTCATGGAACTGAATTCATGTGGCTTTCAAATTCTTATGAATCTAAATGTATTTGAGTCTAGAGAGTCTTTTGTGCCAGAATGCGAACAAGGATTTTAAAAAAAAATTATTTACCTTCAAAGTCTGATACTCCAGTTGCAATAACCAAACTGTTGCATGTCTGCAGATATGAAGATAAAGTTGAGTCATTTCTCCCTGAACAAAGAGTTTTCTTTCCCTTTGTGTGTTTTTATTAGTGCGTCTCAGAGCTTTGCTGACAACGTTGTTGCAGAAGCGTTACACCTTCGCCGCTGTTAGCGCTGTTAGCACCGCTAGCTGCAAACCACCGGCTAAGCCATCGACAGTAGAAATAGCACGTTTAAAATATAAAAAAAATTATTAAATTGGTTACTTCAGGCAAACTTTACCAATGCAGAGCGGAGACGTGTGGTTTGCTGGTAGAAATTGGAAACAAGATAAAGATCCTATTAGTGTTCTACACGACTGGATAAACCACTGAGATTAGAAGATTAAACTGATCATCTGCAAATATAAATCAGAACGTAGAATTGGTGTCACCGATTAAACAGTTTATTAAAATTGCAAAGCAGTCATTTACAATCTCAGTTCATTGAGGCAAACAAAGGAGAACAGAAGCAGCTGGTGTTGCAGAAAGACACAAACAAAAAAAAGATTTAATTTATCAATGAGAAAATGAACACGGATAAATAAATGTATTTGGAAAATAATAACGAAACAAATGCAAAGACATTCAATAAAACTCCATAAATAGAATAAATAACAGAAAATGGTATAATTTAACCCCAATTGACAAATGCTACAAGTGGCATTAATGAAATAAACATAAAATAGAATCCTTCGGTGCAGTGCAGAGTCTTTGGTCCAGTCCGTGAGACATAAATAGTCCTCTTTCAGCTGTGGCTTCACCGTATTGTTCTGCAGGGAGCCGCTTCGCTGGAGCTCACGACGCCCTTAGTCTCCGTCGTCCTCCTCCTCTTGGCAAAGAAATCTGCCAATGACACAAAGAAAGACACGTTTGACACTCGCGTCCCTCCGGTTGCATAACCGCGACCGAGCAGACCTGTGCGTCCTCTCACCTGTGATGCGGCAGAGGGCTCCGGGCCCGGCCGCCGGCTTGGAGAGCGTCCTCTTCCTCCGCCGGAGGGGCGTCGCGTCGGCGGGACGCTTGCGCGCGTTGGGCACCACCCCGGCGCGGTTCTCCTGGTCGGTCCCGGAGCCGTCCTCCCGGCCGCCCGGCCGCCCGCCTTCGCCCGGCTCCGCGGCGCAGTCCGCGGGGACTTCCTCCCACTGGAACCTGCCGGACAGCGGCGTCTCCGCCTGGAAGTTGAAGTTCCAGCGGCGGCTGTCCCGCTCCGCCATCTCCCGCAGCTGCAGCGCCAGGTCCCGGCGCAGCTGGTCGTGGTCCACCGGGCCGAACAGGCTCCTGCGGACCGACTCTCCGCGGCCGATGGGATCCATCCTCTGCGTGCTTCTGGGCGGGGTGCGGGGGGGGGCGGGGGTCGCTTCTTTTGGATGGTGGACCTGTCCTCCGCTCTGGACATCGCGGGGCTGCGGGACCATTTAAAGGCTGCAGGAAGCACGATGCTTTGTTTGTACACAAAGAGCGGCGGCTGCTGATTGGCTGCCTGATGGGGGGGGGGACGAGGGCCGCCCCGGCCGTTAATCAAAGTCCCCCTTTGCCATTTGCAAATGTTTGTGATGAAGTCTTTGTCCTGCTTTTTCCATTTCAATGATCTCAAGCTGATTAGCTCGTGCACAACGACCCTAAAAGAAAACGGAGTGAAAAGACCCCGACATGCAGCTTCCGGGGTGATAAGTGGCAACTACACGCAACCGTAATTATATTGAGCCAACAAAAGTCCGTTTGCCAAAACGAGGTCCTGTCGGGTCTTCAATGAGTTTTAGTTTAAGCTACATGTAGGTCAAGATAAGATTAATTAAGTCCTTTTTAATTGGTTTTGCTAAGAGAAGAGGGTCCCCTGCAGATTAGGGTGGTCATCATTTTCGCAATAGCTTTAGAAACACAATTAAACCCACGACTGTATGCTAATTACATCGTAATTACTCCTTGATTAAAGCCTCTTTTTTTAAAGTCCTTCAAAGGGCCTGTTGTCACTCACTTTATTGGACTTGTTTATGCTAGAAATAATATTGCGAACACATGTTTGGCGAAATGAGCCGCAACCTTTCACACGTCACTGCTTCCATCGTCGAGCTACTTTAACCAACCGGTCACGATGGATCACAAGGATCTGACATCCATCTAACATTTCCTCGTGTCCATTCAGCTCAAATAAATACTGACGGAATGAACCGTCCACGGACAAGGGCCACGCGTGGTTAGATACGCTGGGACGGTGCAGGTGGTTGGACACAGGAGGAACCACCAGGGCAGGAAGTGAAAATGAGAGGCAGGAAACAATTTTTGTTTTATGTTGATCTGTTCTAAAATGTTGCACTCACAAACATGGATCCTAAAATGTAAAATAAATAGACGGAGTAAAGCAATGAGAGACATGCAAAGCGGCGGCGCACAGCACAGCCCGGGGGGGTTGGTCGGAATAAAACAAAGGGAAACCTCACCCTTGCACAACTTCCTGCTCTGCCCAGGTAGGAAAGAAAAAAAAAAAAAAAAAAAAACCTCATCACCTGTCAGGTGTGTTTCAGCGGGCGGACGGTTGGGACCTTCATTTGAGTCATGCAGGAGAGTGAAGGAACACCTCTGGTGAGTACGGACTGTCTTTCATTCATTCACCGCATCTGCCAAAGGAAAGATTATTCACGGTTAACGGGCGTAATGTCGGTGCACCGAGGCCAAACCCCTCCAACGCACGGGACTCCCATCCAGCTCACGCTGTGTGCGTCAAGGGCGACAAAGGCAGAACAACCACTCCGTGGTTTGAGTGTCGTATAATAGAAAATAGTTCGTTGGGCATATCTGGAGGGTGTAAATATAAAGAGTGACTTTGAGGATGAAGCAGAAGTTGATGGTTGCATAGTTTCCTTCTTCGCCATAATGACCTACAGTCTTTTTTTTCCACATTTCTTCCCCCAGCTATCCTTTTCCTATGTGCAACGTCTTATCTCCTTTGGTTTATTAAAGTGAAAGATTCAGTTTCTTCCCACGATAATTCTACTTCGGGTGCCGGGAAATGTTGACATTGAAAAACTGAATATTGATTTTGAAAGAGAGTATTGCTTTTTTCGCTCGTGGGCACGTTCCATTTTAATAGAGGTTTTGGTGAGTGAGAAAGGGGCTTCTGGGCATCGACAAATACACAAATGCTCTCCTAGAAGGAAGCTGTGTGCCTGCTGTAAATCGATTAGGACATCCCAGATCATCATCTCGTCTGCTAGAGAAAGGACAAGTTCATTAAGCCAGACTTCAAGCAAGATGTAGAGAGGGAGTGTGCGAGTGAGTCCATTGGTGCATGCAGCTGAGTTATTTCGATTTTTGCAGGTTTGATTTCTTTTTTTTAAAATGAAAATACCGTTGCAGAGATATTTCTGCATGATAAAATGACCAAAAACTCAGGACCATACTGCTTTGCAGTGGTGAGACGGTCCACTGTTGGTCATCAAGGAGCGTGTGTGTGTGTGTGTGTTTGTGTGGGTGTGTCCGAACCTTTGCATGCAAATCGTCCTGTTTGCATATCCGATAGAAAGTTTCCCTCGCAGATCCAGACCTGTAGTCAAATGAAGGCCCCCACAACAAGCTGCTCACTTACATCAGAACAGATGGCTCGCCATGAATTCACTCTCACTGTGTGTGTGTGTGTGTGTGTTGGTTAACCGTCGCACCGCAATTCTATTAAGACACTGTTCCTCCGCATGCCGGCGCTTTGTCAAAGAAAAATGCGCTAGTGCATTTTTTTTTTTTTTTTTTGTTGGAATCATTCCTCTCAAACAAGCAAACGAGGCCGGCTGATGAAAGTCTGCGTTCACTCAGGCAAACGGATCTCTATTAATAACGAATGACTTTCCTTCCTGAACTCAGCGTCAGTCTTTGCAAACAAGCATTCAGAGATAAACTGCATTTTAATGTAAAACAACGACCGGATACGACCCGGGTCACACGGTCAAATGCTCCTCCGCGGGGCTCGATGGAAATACGCACTTTTGACCAAACGGCAATTGACAAAACATTCAACAAGGCCGTTTTTTCCAGCGATTCTGCCGACCGTGTTGTGGCCCAGTTTTCCTCGGTTTCATGTGGATGACTGACAATGTTTTGTGAATTCCTAGTTCGGGCATTAGGCAGGAAGCGTTTTGCATACCAAGCGAGGATGAAAATTCTGCCAGATTTGCATTGACCAGAAGTGTTTGTAGGAGCCTTTCCCCTCTGTGAGGAGAGAGGGGGACTTATAGGGGGGGGGGGTGTGTTTGTTTGCAGGGGACGCTGCGGCCACGGACCCGATGTCCTCGATGTGGGGACCTGCTGGAGTGGTCGGAGGAGCACAGGTGTGTGTGAGACAGGTGTCCCCTCCCAAAGCTCTAATCTGAACCGGATCACAGTGGTGTTCGAGATGAAGAGTTCTCCCATCAGATCATGTTCGGGCAGTCAGATCAGAATCAGATCAGAACACATGGTTATACTTTTGTGATTTTGATAAACCCTTTGCTTCCGTCGTGGATGCTAGAGGGAACAAACACGAGGGTTCTGGTGCAGTGAGTTATGTCTGATTCTGTGTCAAACATGGCACATCAAAATAACCAATCACTACCAGTGATTGTGATCATTCAAATATGTTTCTTGCCTTTTATGGTAAAGCAAAAAAAAACTAGACTCTGCATGAATGTGTAATTTGTTTAAAGCCCAAACAAGGAGGCAGAACACACTCCCCTCGGCAGGAATAAAAGGACCACTTGTTCCGGGCCATTAAATCCGAAATCAGCTTTAAGATACAAGGAATACAAGGACTTTTTTTTTTTTTACAATACTCACAAGGTGCTCACACAGACTATTAGACAACAAAGTTCAGTGCTGAATGAGGTACTCAGTACTAAGTACTGAGTACTTCTATCGCTTTCAACCGGCAGCGGCTCGCTGAACGCGCTAACTATGCAAGCCGCGTGCTACATTTCTGTACCCGAGCCGTTAGTCACGGTGGCGTTATCGGCTTTGACTGCGTGAGTGCAGCACAAAGCGTCCGCTGCCAGCTGACCGGAGGAGCGCGCTCTCATGCACTCTCATGCACTCTCATGCACTAACATGCACTTACAGGCTCTTCTGGCCTCTGCTCGTATATGTTTGCTGCTCCGAATGTTGTTTTACAATTTATCACTGAGCTATAACGATAACAGGACAGGTTAAACCTTTCTATTTAGGAAAACCTCGACATTTGAAATCAAATGCATATGATTGCCACGCTATGAGCAGGAGGTCAGAGGTCATGAACACACGGATCTTTCTCCCAGTGTCCTGCTGGGCTGCTCCTGCTGCACCACAGTGGATGAGGCTCTGCAGAAGGTCGCCAGAGGCCTCGCCGGCAGGATGAAGGAGAAGAGCCACTGGGCATCCGGAAGGGTGGGCGACATCAACTTCGTTGGCGCTACGAAGACGAGAGGAAAGGTGAAACCAACCAAAAAGTTGCCACGTTCGAGTTTGCAGAACACACCGTTTCGTCTCTGATAACTCGTTGACTCGTCTTTATTTCCAGTTCGTGAGGGTGCGCAGCGACACAGACCCGGTGCTGATCTACCAGATGCTGATGGAGTGGGGCCTCGCTCCCCCACACCTGGTGGTGGCGCTGGTGGGCGGAGACGAAATGACTCAGATGAAGCCTTGGCTCAGGGACATTCTGAGGAAAGGACTCGTGAAGGCCGCACAGAGCACAGGTGATGATCAGTGGGCAAATGGACGGTCATTGATGGAGATGTTGTTGACTGGCACAAAACACCAACAAACACTGAGAGCAAATCTTGTCTTTCGTTTAGATGTTGGAAGTTATTTTCATGTTGTTTTAATTTGCACTATTCCGTTTCAGTAGTAACTTAACCTGCATAATCTTTAAACCAGCTTGGAATCCACAACTTGACGCGCAGCAGGACGTCGACCTCCCTTCCTACGTGCACAAAACATGACCAGACATTTAAATGCAACTGCTCGTGTGCTCTCCAGGCGCGTGGATCCTGACCAACGGCCTCCGCTTTGGCATCACCAAACACTTGGGCCAGGCCGTGAGAGATCACTCGTTGGCCAGCACCTCCTCCAAAGTCCGCGTCGTGGCCATCGGCATCGCGCCGTGGAACATGATCCACAACCGGGAGGCGCTCGCCAGCAACTATCCCAAGGTCGCTGCCGGTGCACAGACAGCACGAAGGGCCAACGGGAAGCGAAACCGGCCGCAGGGCTCTCACGCTGTCCTCTCGCATTCATCAAGGTGGAGGAGCCTGCGGTGTACGAGCCCCAGGACTTGCCTCACGGGTCGGTGTACTCGCTGGACAGCAACCACTCCCACTTTGTGCTGGTGGAGGAGGATCCCGACAGACCAGGAGCCACCAGCGAGATGAGGGTGAAGCTGCTCAAACACATCTCTCTCCAGCGCACCGGATACGGAGGTGAAGCCGCCGTCGCGTCACGACAACCCTCCGCGACAACACCAGAAATCCAATTATTGAACTTTACTTTTTGCATTTATAAATAATAAAAACTGTAGAATCCCATTAAATATTGAAAGTAGGAGTACTCGTTTTATTTAAATGATAAATGCAGTATTTTTCTGTAGTGCTTTGGTGCCAGCTTCGTCTTTTAAGACCTTTCTATATGGCTCGCCGTAATATCATATGGCACAAGTGCGTAAAAGGAGTAAATATATCAAATAAAATAAAGAAACTGTACATGAGCAGACTCCCATACTTTAAAACACCAGTTAGCTAAAGCAGATACCTGCTGCTGCATCGCAGGATTTAAGCCGCAATTGGAGGTCAGAAAATATTTGTACATTTAAAAAAATATTCTAGTTTATAAATGTAAATAGTGCCCCGTGTGCTTTCTTTTTTTCTTTCTCAAAGGAGCCAAATAACACTGAATAAAATATTAGTCAGTTATTATTTGCCTTTGAGAGCGAATGCAGATGTGCGCAGAATGCAAAGGGATGCAGTAATTTGATGTTTCTCCAAATCTGCTCTTCTGCGGTGCATTCAGGGGCAGGCAGTTTCGAGATCCCTGTCCTGTGTTTCCTGGTCCACGGGGAGCCCAAAATCCTGAAGGTGAGCTTCGTTTGACTGTGCTGCTGGTTCGTTGCTCGCCAGCTTCAAAGACGGGATCAACCAACAGGCCTTTCTGAATGTTGCACAATCAAGCAGCGGCTTAGGAATTAGGCTCCGAATCAAATTCTGGTTTGTGCCACCTCCTGAAGTCTCGGTCCCAAAGCCAGCCGGAGGAATCAATTCTGTTTTCACAAAACTAATCTCTCGGGCTCGAAATGTGCACAAACAGACACACAACTGCGTTCACGCCGCGCCGCCCGACCGATAAGAGCCTTTGTTCGTGCTCGCTGGAGAAGTTCTCCGGTTTGTGAGAGCTGTGTGTGTGTGTTCCTGTTTGCAGAGGATGCACAAAGGAATCGGCAACTCCACGCCGTGGCTGATCCTGGCCGGCTCGGGGGGCGTGGCCGACATGCTGGTCACGCTGATGAACCGAGGCTGCTGGGACGAGGACGCCGTTCGCGAGCTGCTGCTGGACACCTTTCCGAACGCCCACCACGGCACGGACGTCAGGAACTGGGTCAAGCTGGTGAGAGCCGGGAAAATGGGGCACACCAGGGGAGGGTTGGGATTTTCATCCGTATCTCCAAAATGTGCCTTTTGATGACCTAATTTAAGATGGGAATGTGAGGGGGGAGATGGGGCGCTGATAAGTTGTGTTTGTTTTTGCATTAAGTTGTAACGGACCGTCTCCCTTCCAATCAGATTCAGAGGATCCTTGATCACGGGCATCTGCTGACCGTCCACGACCCCGAACAGGAGAGCTCCGAGCTGGACACGGTCATCCTCAAAGCTCTGGTCAAGGGTAAAGCAGCTGGAGAGAGATGTGTGGTTGAGATACGGGAAGTGTTTTCAACTTCACAGCTGCATGGAGAGAAAGAGAGAGAGAGAGAGAGATGGGGGACATTTTGAGCTCTTCATATGTTGTGAATCTTGCATGTTGTGTGTGTCAGCTTGTAAGAGCCAAAGTCAGGAAGCACAAGACTTCCTGGACGAGCTGAAGCTGGCCGTGGCCTGGAACCGGGTGGACATCGCCAAGAGTGACATCTTTAATGGAGATGTGGAGTGGAAGGTGAGTTGACCCGTGAGGAGAAGTTTGTAATCAAACCTTTTTACATCGTCGTTTGGCTTGATCATCAATTAAAGAACCACACAAGCAGGGAGGCCACACTAATAGTGAGACTTCTAATACACTTTACATAGTCCTGTCTTATTTTGTAGTTTTCTGCTTGTCTCCCTGGGTAACTTCACTTCCTGCCTTGTCCGGTCATCCCCTGTAATTGTCTGATTGTTTCCACCTGTGTCCAATCACCTGCACCTCCCTAGTGTATTTAAGCCGTGTGTGTCTCTTGTGTCACTTGTGGCGTCATTGTCCATCGTCCTGGATGTTCCGAGTTCCTTTTCCCCCCCCTGTTCCTGTGTGTGTTTTTGCCCCTTGGCCTTTTGCTTTTTGACTATTAAAGTATTTTTACTTTAACCTCTGCATTTGAGTCCTGCCTTCCCCGCATCCCCTGACAGAATGACGCCACAAGTAACACAAGAGACACACACGGCTTAAATACACTAGGGAGGTGCCGGTGATTGGACCCAGGTGGAAACAATCAGACAATTACAGGGGATGACCGGACAAGGCAGGAAGTGAAGTTACCCAGGGAGACAAGCAGAAAACTACAAAATAAGACAGGACGTGAACCACACCGTGACAGTTTACTGTATCAGCTTGCTAATATCTGCTAATTAACGCTATCCGACTGTAAAATATAGACATAAAACAAACTGTCATAAACAGGAATATAAGCTATAGAGACCAAGAGCATTTTTTGGTACCAACATGTTTATTTCGATTGTATTTATATCGTTGCTTTTGGAGCCTCGCTCAATATGTCATTTGAGGAACTGTAGTTTTTGGCACCATGATGGCTTCATTTTGCATCGGCGTAGTTTGCCAACACATAAATCGGTAAAAAAAGTAATTGAGAGGACATTTCACTCGAAAACAAGAAATATGGATCGTGGAGCGTGAATATCGTTGAATATATCGATTCGTTCCCGTCCTTTGAGCCTTTCCAGCTGGCGTTGCTAAAATAGTGTTTTGCATTTGTCTTCCATTCTTAATCTAATTTACTTGATTTACAATCAATCTGAAGGGAACCAGTGACTCATTAGAAAAATAGCCTTTAACAAACGCTCCATCTTTGCAGGCGTGCGACCTTGAAGAGGTGATGATGGACGCGCTGATCAATGACAAACCCGACTTTGTGCGCCTCTTCGTGGACAACGGCGTGAACCTGGGCGAGTTCCTCACCTACGGCCGTCTGCAGGAGCTCTACTGGTCCGTGTCGGAGAAGAGCCTCTTTCACAACCTGCTGCTCAAAAAGTACGAGGAGAAACAGCTTCTGCTCGGAGCCGGAAGGACGCCGGGGCCGCCCGGGCACCATCCGCCCGAAGGCGACAGGAAACCCCGCTTCACCCTCTTTGAGGTCGCCAAAGTGCTGAAAGACTTCCTCCACGACTCCTGCAAAGGCTTTTACCAAAGGGTTCCCACAGTGAGTGAAGCGTGCATCTCCCTCCCACATTGTACTCCTTTTTGCATTGAGATGTCTCAAAATCAATGTCTGCAGTGTTTCTGCCACCTCGTCAGAGTTTGGATTCATCTGTAAGTTGTCACCATAATTACAGATAGAAAGAGCCGGATCACACCCTGCTTTCATAGGCAATCTCATCTAAATATACCCTCCGTATTTGCAGTTAATTATCCATCTCTGTATGTTGTTAGCACTGTATCAAGCTGTTGAAAAGAAATTACAGCTCAGTTCGTGACTTAATATCAAATTGCTCCTTGGCACAGCGTCTGTCGGCGAAGCGTGTTTCATGTATTTAACATCTCCTGTTCACAGAACCAACCCACCGCTTAGAAACTGAACTTTTTTCCAGGCAGCGTAAGTTATTTATTTTGCAATAACGACCACGGATCAGTAGATCATGTGACCCAAGTGATGACTGCTCGCCCCCTTGAAGCTGCGTCCCGGCTGCCGGTTTAATAAAGTGTGTGCGCTGCAGGAGAAGCCGGCGAAGGGCCGACTGTTCCACACCCAGAAGAACATGGCGGAGTCCGAGGAGCGCTGCGAACATCCTTGGAGGGACCTCTTCCTCTGGGCCGTCCTTCAGAACCGACAGCAGATGGCCAACTACTTCTGGGCCATGGTCAGTGTCGTCAGCTCCTGTGCTCGGTTCGCCGGCCGGCTCGTACGACCTCGGGCTGGTTTGTGTATATACAAGGGGCGATGATCCGGGGCAGCGCGGGGGAGCAGGTCACTCCCGCCGTATGAAAATGCCGGCCCGGATAAAACGGCATATTTGTAAAGAGCTCGTCTTATCTGCAGGAACGTTATTCAAATGAAGGTCGTGCCACTTCCCGGGGCGGTTCAGTCAGCGAGCTGTGAGGGTAATGCGGGCGTATCTGAACCCCTGATGGAGTTGAGGTGAAACGCATCTCGACGCGACATTGATGAGCCATTATAGGTTTAAAAGACACCAATCAATAAAAATGTCTCCCATGGGTTCAACGTCTCTTCGGGGGAACCTTTCATTTAGTCATTTCTCTTCCCAAAACTGAGGGAACCAATTATTGTAATCTCCCGAGCGGTCACCCTCATGTGCTCCTTTTCCTGCGTCTCAGTTCAAACATTATTCGAAATGATGGTAATTGCGCTGAGTGTGTGTACAACCCCGACTGAAAATCTTTTTTTTTTCCCCCTCTCACACTCTAACTGGGATATCTGCATTCCTAATTTCATTGTTTGAAGTATCCCTCGCGGTGAAAGCCGCATCACAATTATCCTCGCAGGCTGACTTATGCTCGCAAGATACCCCCATTTATGAATTAAGGAATATGGAGGGTTCAAACGGAGAGCCGTCTGTTTCAGGATGTTGCTCTTCATTTACGTGAGTCGTGTTAGTTGTATAAAGGTTTCTTCTTCGAGGTGTTGTTGTGCTCATTTTCACTTTGGTAGTTTTTATTTCAACGTGTTTACATGCTGTGGTGTTCATGTTTTTCTGTATTCAGCCGCTGTCAGAAACGCTCCTTTCCAGCGCCGTCTCCTTCAGCCCCCTCGCCTAAAAAAAGCCCAGTGCGCTCTGATTAATTTGTGAGAAAAAAATATGGGGCACCTTGGCCGAGGTGGCTCTCAAACGGCTGTTTGCACATTCAAATGAGCCGAAAAGTCATCGGAGAAAAGACGCACTGGTTTGTGTTGTTACACCAAAATGTATGTGCACAACCAGGGAAACGGTTTCTCCTTGATATTCCCCCTTTAAAAGGTTAACGCCAAATTCACAGTATGATAAAAGCAAACATAATTTACTATAATGCAAGAACATAAAATGCAGATCTTTCTGTAAATTAAATATCAGCTTCTTCCTTCTGTCCTCGTGCACATTTTGACCTGGAAGGCGCCAAAAAAAATGGTTTAAAGAGTCTGAAAAGTCCTTTTAAAACAGCTATCCGGCCCATTTATATTTGAATCTGAAACTAGGAGACGGTTCACATGCATTGACAGGGAAATCTATTTACTCATCCAACTCACCGTAAGAAAAATAGAAAAAGGCGGCTGCATGTTCTGCCGATTATTTCAACCCTTTAAATATATCAGGTAACTTCCTCTGAAGTAATCGAATGCGTGCTGCACCAACGTGATGTCAGAATATTCTGCAAAATGGGTTTCCAACCCGGAGACGGCCCCCCCGTGGTTAAACGCTCTGAGCAATAAAACACTTATTCTCCCACACAAAGAACACACCCATTCCAGGAGAATTACTTCCATCCGAGGAGCATAAGAGTGCACCATCGTCTGCGCCCTAGATTTCCTCATCATTTGCTTCCCGATTCTTTCAGTAGACCAGCGGGCTTCTTAATCCGTGCTGGAAACGGAGACTTTCTGCTGCAGCAGCTGACTGTCTCGTATCCAGCGCTTGAGGGGTTGTTGTTTTTTTGGCCAAAAACCTCCCAAGTAGAATGACAGACGAAACCAGTCGTGTTGTTTCACAAGATGAGCTTTAAACAAACTTAACGGGCGCCATGTCTCCTGTAACCCTGCTGGCTTTACTGCCTCAACTCTACACGCAGACGGTTCACATGAATGAAGCTGTAACTGTGGCTTTTCTCAACATTCACAAAGAACTATTTGGCACATCCACCATCTGAATGAGTCATTCGTTAACACACATCAGGAAACATTTATTGCCAAAATATGTCAGACATACACGGAATTTGACTTGATTGGTGCAGAACAGCAGACAGTTACACAGTGGACCAGAAGGTTAGTTTGTTAGTGATAATGAGCTGAATAGTGACTCACAGCGATGAGGGGAAATAACGGGCCAAGCCCTTTAAGTTCGAGACTTCTCTTTCATGACCTCAAAACCACTTCGGTCGTATCCAAGGTGCCTCTCTCGCTCAGACTGACAGGCGGAGACGATCAGCCACCGTGCCTCCCAACGCTGTGGTAAATGCAGGGGGAGGACGTCTGTGCTTCCGAATACGCTCACTCGAGCAGCGCGGCGCGGCTAACGTATCATTTGAGTGGTGAATTACACACCCCGCGGGTTTTTGCAAGTGCTGCAGCCTGACGCTCTCCAAAACTCTCGACTAGACTTCTCAGATCCGTCTCTCAGACCCCGGGTTTCTGAGACGCCGCTTTCTTTTAATCCTTCAGGGCCCCGAGGCAGTTGCGGCAGCGCTGGCGGGTTGTAAGATTCTGAAAGAGATGGCGCGACTGGAATCCGAGGCAGAGTCTGCGCGCAGCATGAAGGAGGCGAAGTACGAGCAGTTTGCCCTTGGTGAGTACATGAACCGTTGCGCCGCGGTGGCCAGGCGGCCGACCTCAAGCAACACCTGCCCTTTTGTACCCGCTCTTCTGCTTGTGGCAGACGTCTTTGGAGAGTGCTACTCCAACAGCGAGGACAGAGCTTACGCCTTGTTGGTGAGACGAACTCACTGCTGGAGCAAATCCACGGTCCTCAACTTGGCCACCGAGGCAGACGCCAAAGCCTTCTTTGCCCACGATGGAGTTCAGGTAACGGGGACACGCGTGCTCTTTTAGATTTTCTGGCTCGTACCTTTGTTTTGAGTTTGCATTTGAACCTGTTGCATGCGTGTTCTGTCTGTCGCAGTATACCTTTTTTTCACTTCACCTAAAACACTTTCGGTGCCCCAGTCAGACTGTAGGTAAATGTACTCAGATGTACATACAACGGAAGCTAAATCGGCCTGGTTTGTTTACCAACTGGGATTTTCATGGCGTGTCCCCACAACCTTTGCAGTATTGGCCATTGCCCTGAGCTTTGCATTGGGAGCCCTTTGATACTGTATTTTAAAGTCATCTCACTCGCCTCGTCATTGGACTCCATTATCTGTTCCATTTTACAAAGACCGATGCCCTTGACTTCACAAAGTCAACATTCGGAGTTCATCTGTATTCCATGTCAGCAGTGAAAGGACAGTTAATGTGCACGCAGTCTTGGGTGGGGGGGGGGGGTGTTTTTATTGGTCCGTTACGAATGGAGGACGGACCCATGAACGACCATCTCCTGAAAGCGACTCGTCAGACTGCAGCAAGAAAGCTGCAGAGAAGAAAACGTTTTGCTCGTCTTGTTAAAGGGTTCCTAGAGGGGAGGGGGGGCAATAAGCATTATTCATCTGCTAACCAGCTGGGATGACTCCCTGTCGATGGCTGCCGTGGATTCAGTCACAAGACTGAAGGGCAGAAACACTCTCAGGCGGCTGACGCCCCCCGGTGGCGAATTTCACTCGTATGCCGAGTTAGTTCCTTGATGTCTTGATGACCGACGATACGGATCTGGACTGCTTCTGGCAGGCCCTCCTCACGAAGATCTGGTGGGGGGCGATGACCACGGACACGGGCATCTCCAAGCTGGTGGCGTCTTTCTTCTTTCCACCTCTCATCTGGACCAACCTCATAAAGTTCAGGTGATGAAGCGAAGGGATTCTCCTCGGGCCGTGTGGATGCGCCATGCGTCCCTTTGTTGTGTGCACTGACTGACTCTCTCTCTCTCTCTCTCTCTCTCTCTAACGTGCTCCTCAGCGATGAGGAACTCGACAACAAGCTCAGCCAAGGGCAGTTTGTGGAGCTGGACAGTCTGGACACGGAGAAGGCTTTACTGCTGAGCGACGACGACGACCCTTTGTCAGTTTGCACTTCAACTCCAATGAAAAAGAATCGGAAAAAGTCTTTTTAGATGTTAAACTGCTTCTATTTCATAAATTCACAATCTCATCCATTGTGAACCGACAGTAAACCTGTCACATTTTCTGTTATCGCCCCCCAAAGCGGAAGTTATACACACACTAAAACATGATGAAACACTTATACCGTAATAAAAATGAGTAAAACTGTCTCCAAAGGGACCCGTCGCCTGAGGGCCAGGGGGCCCAGAGCTGCGCCTCCGTCTGGTGGCGGTTCCTACACCGCCGCTGGCGCCGCTTCTGGAGCGCCGCCGTCACCGTGTTCCTCGGCAACGTCATCATGTACTTCGCCTTCCTCTTCCTCTTCACCTACGTGCTCCTGCTGGACTTCCGGCCGCCGCCGCCCCTCGGCCCCGGGCCCACGGAGATAATGCTCTACTTCTGGGTCTTCACCTTGGTGCTGGAGGAACTCCGACAGGTGATCGCCGCGGCAACCAGACTCCCCCGTGTGCTTTTAGAATCCACATTCGGAGTTCTCCCATCGTTGTTTCGCGTTCGTTGAGGATACCCACGTGACCATCAGTGGGGATCGCTGCAATGAGCTGATCTCGCACCGTTTTATGGTTGACGTTGGCAGATTATTCCAGAACCTGATGTCAGCCTGGAAGAGATTTAAGTATTTAATCAATTCCAAGTATTAAGAACACACCAATTAAAGTAATGACATTTGATTAATGTGCTCTCAAGTAAAGAGCAAAGGGAGACTTGACTTTCATTACAGCTTTTATTTAAATATCTTAGTTATGAATTCATTTTCTTAAACCCGATGAAACCGGATCAAATAGAAGTAGAGTTGCGACTCCTGGGGGTATTTTTCCCTTTTGGGGCATTACAACCTGGAATTTCAATGATTTAGATTTCATGCCTTACATTTACAAAGGTTTGTCAAAATTGGTCAAAGATTTCTGAGAATTAAAAAAGGGAAAAGTGTCACGTGCATATCTATTCACCCTTTTTTGCCACGACTCCCTAAATGCATAAATTACCTTCAGAAGTCACATCATTTGTTAAAAACATGGTCCCCGTCTCTTCTTAAAAGACCACAAAGACAAAGAAATTGCGGCGAACAGGTCAGCGACAAAGTTCTGGGTTATTAAAAGAAATATCCCAAAACGTCCCACAGCGCATCAATAAATCCATTATTACACAATGGAACGGCCTTTGCAGCGAAAGCGTCCAAAGAGGAGCAATACTCTCGGCAGGAGAGCAGAATATTAATCTGAGAGGCGACAAAGAGACCAAAGATAACCCCGAGGGGGCTGGAGGACATTGGACTGTCTGTCCATGAGCGAAAAGCCGTTGATTCAATATAGAAATTAAAACATCCCCGAGGTCCCCCACAGACGCCTCAAGCATGTTTTATTTCTCCCATTTTGTCGCCGTCTTTGTTTGTGTTGCCATATCCTTCGCATTCTTTAATAATGGATTAAACGCTCCTCGGTAGGATGTTAAAGGTTTCGTTCATTTCTTTTTATAACGCTGACCTTCTTTGACCTTCCTTAAGAGCCTCTTGCTCTTCGGGGTGCTCACTCAGAGATGTTGCTCATCTGCTTTACAGAACATGAGAGTGCAAATGTGCATAAGCATGTATGTATGTGTAAGCACGCATGCATTTATGCATGGATGTACATGTGTATACACACATATATATATATACATTATTGTATATGTATATGGTGTATGTGTACATGTGTGTATATGCAGTACAGCTGAGCCTCACACAGCCGTCCTCCACTTCCCACATCTTGTTCTTAAGAGCCGTCGGGGGGCCGGGGGGGCCGCTCTGAATGCACTTCCAGGTTCCCCTTTTCGTTCCACAGGAGAGAAGCCGACCTCACACTCTTAAGTGCTGCAGACATTTTACAGGCCTTGGCAACGTGGAGGACATGCATGTGCTTCTAGAGCAGCAGTACTCTGTACCTGCCAACTCCCTCCTGACCTCGCAGGGGTGACTTGGAGGACGAAGGCATATTGTGTGATTTTGAAGGCTACATCAAAGCCTCATTGAGCCATGAACAGCCGGACCTTCAGGCTTCTCACACATTATGATGTGTCGAAAGACGAAAACATCTGGTTTTCTCATGAACTCAATTTGATTTGATTTTTTTTCAAAAATGTACAAATAATTACCGTAATGCGTGAACCGTCTTCTCTGACACAGAGCTTCTTCACGGACGAAGAGATGAGCATCTTGAAGAAGTTCAAACTCTACGTGGAAGACAACTGGAACAAGTGCGACATGGTCGCCATCTTGCTCTTTGTGGTCGGGGTTTCGTGCAGGTAACTGCAGCGTTCAACATAAAATGACGCGGTTTGTTGTCACCGCGGCTTGGAATAGAGCATTAAAACAAGCGAGCAACAAGAATTACTGAAAGGCAAGAGGGAGTAAAGCAAACAGTTCTTCCTGTGTTGGGTTGGCAGGATGGCTGAGGACACGTATGAGGCGGGCCGGACCGTCCTGGCGATAGACTTCATGGTGTTCACTCTGCGTCTCATCCACATCTTTGCCATTCATAAGCAGCTGGGCCCCAAGATCATCATTGTGGAACGAATGGTGAGCTAAACAAAGCATCGTAGATGTGATCCTTTTAAGGGAGACAACACAAGGCTGGTTTTAATGTTCCAAAACACTCTCTAAGTCTCTCTAAGCTCCCCTGCACAAAATGGGAGGCCTTTAAGTGATGCCCACGGGTTTTTGGATATGCACACTTATCTCAAAGCCAACCTTGTTCAAGAAGTCTGTTGAAGGAATAAAAGAAGGTGTTTGTTCAGTCGAACAGCCCGCCGCTGGTTATGTTAATCGCAGTATAAACGACATTATTGGTGCAATATCCGCCATGTCAAGAGCGTAGTGAGACTTTGAGTACAGTAACAAAGTCAATAAAGCCGTTTTTTTCCCCCCCTTCACAGATGAAGGACGTTTTCTTCTTCCTTTTCTTCCTGAGCGTGTGGATGATCGCGTACGGCGTCGCCACCCAGGCCCTTCTCCACCCCAACGACCCCCGGATCGACTGGGTGTTCCGCAGGGCCTTGTACCGCCCTTACCTGCACATTTTTGGCCAGATACCCCTGGAGGAAATAGATGGTAAATTACAGCAACTTTTTGAATATGCGGCGTGACTCGTTTAGAATCGTTGCATGCAATCGGTCGGCGCTTACTGCCGGCCTCGTGTCTTCTGATCTCATTGTCTCCGTTTAACTGAGCGCAGCTGCTCGAATGCCCGAAATCAACTGCACCAACGACTCGGAGGAGATCATCCTGGGCCTGCGCCCCCCGTGTCCCAACATCTACGCCAACTGGCTTGTCATCCTGCTGCTGGTCATCTTCCTTCTCGTCACCAACGTCCTGCTGCTCAACCTGCTCATCGCCATGTTCAGGTGGGGAAAAGCCCGCCGGACGCTGACACGCGCGCGCGTGCGCTCCAGACACGGGCTGACGTTGACGTCTTTATTGCTCCGCTCTCGCGCAGCTACACCTTCCAGGTGGTGCAGGGCAACGCAGACATCTTCTGGAAGTTCCAGAGGTACAACCTGATCGTGGAGTACCACAGCCGTCCGGCACTGGCCCCGCCCTTCATCATCATCAGCCACCTCTCTCAGCTCCTCCTCAGCCTGGTCAAAAAGCCCGCCTCCAAGCACGAGCATCTTGGTAAGACGGGTCGTATTCATTTGAAAACAGTTGAGTGTGACTCATGAGGCTAAATTAGGTGTGAAATGCTGGAAGACGGGCTGTGCTCCGTGCATGATTTGTAATTGGTCTACCTGTGTGTGTGTGTTTGCTAGAGAGGGAGCTGCCTGAGGGTCTAGACCAGCGTCTGATAACGTGGGAGACGGTGCAGAAGGAGAACTACCTGGCCAAACTGGAGCACCAGCATTGGGAGAGCAGCGAGGAGAGACTCAAGAGCACTTCCTCAAAGTAATTGTTGTTTTCCAATAATCTGGAGACCTTTCATACGGTGAGAGTATCTGTGATCAGCCCACAGGACAGTGCCGTGGACTGTACATGAGAGGTGGAGGTGGTCACCGTGGTGTCATCGATCGGTTTGTGGGCCGTCGTTTACTTTTTTTGAATGATTAGATTGTGGAGCTACGGTTGTATAATAAACTTTCTAATCGACCAAAAGGGAACACAAACAATAAAAGCACAACTCCCAGAAGAGACAACACGTGTTCACAACTAACAACTCAAATCTTTACGGTCAGTTTCCCTCTGAATTAACCATCATTTACTAAATAAACATCGCGCTGCGAACAAGAAGACTTGGAAACAGAGACCATGAACTTGTTTGTTTACACTGAGGGAATAAATCAAGTGAGAAGTTGAATCAGTTTCTCATAGACTTCTATACAAATCAGACTTCAGTCATCGCCCCCTAATGGCCGTTAGAAAGAATGCAGGTTTAAGGCTGATGACAGGAGCCTTTCTTCATCTCTGTCCAAGGGTTCAGAGCTTGCTGAAGATCGTCAGTGGGTTCAAGGACCAAGATAAGCGACTGGTATCCATGGATGCTCAGGTAAGTCGGAGATGTTCGGTCGTCAAACCCGTATTGTGTTGCTTTTATCACTCACTTGTAAGTCACGTCAGAGAGACTTTGCATAAGCCCACTTTTCTGGCGTCGCCTACAGGTCAGATATTGTGGAGAGGTGTTGTCCTGGATGGCAGAGTGCTTCGCTCAAAGCACACTCAAGTGCGGGAAAGATGCGCCGAGAGCTCCAAGTGAGTCAGAAAGCTGAAGGAGTGACTCGTAGTGAATGTGCACGTGACAATTGTAGCGGGCTGTGATTGTACTCCTGTATTACTGTGCACGTTATGACCTAACTAAATATAAATATCATGACGTTACAGTGTCCCTGAGCGGCACCAAGGACGCGCCCGAGAGTCCACCGGAGAAAAAAGTCCAATCAGAAGAGAAGGCGGCGGCCAGACCGGGCCACCAGGGATATGGAGCCAAAAAAAAGCTCCCATATATTGACGAGTAAAAGGGATAACGGCAACTGCAGCACACAGACAGCTATTTAAGAAATACTATGAAGCCTTTAATATTTTGAGGTGGGATTGGTGGGAAAGGTGATTGATTTGTGAACTTCAAATTTTAAATAATTATTTCACAAATGCATACTGGCTTTTTGAGAGTTGTCGGGACGGTTACCTGTGGTTTATCACAATAAACAAATTTGATGAATTACCTCTCATTGACTTTTTTGCTTTTCAAGATTACATTTTGTTAGCCCAGACTTCTATTTATGTACATTTCTTATAGGAAATACGTTGCTTTAGGGCAACAACAACAAGTAAACATTTTGGTTACTTGGTTTAAATGGAAAAGAAATGCATGAATGTCTTAATTTATGGTTAGATAAATTCAGATTACAACACACTTGTTCTTTAGATGAGAAATTATTGTCCGCTCCAATATTAAAAACATAACTGAATTAAAAATGTAGCATAATGTAGCTAAATTACATTAAAAAGCATTGTTCTGTTTTATTGATTAAAACAAAAATCACAGACATTTAAAAAGGTGGAGGACAAATAAATACAAGGATACTTGCAGCGTCCCCGATGTGCATGATTTAAAATGAATCAAACAGTATTCAAACACTGACATGTGGTCTGCTGACATCTCGTCGTGCGAGTTTGACTTTAGTCCCTCGAAACTGAGGCCTCGGGTCCCCTGGGCTGCACGGTCGGCCCGTCGCGGTGAAGCACATTGTCAAAGCGCGGCGTCACTTCGCAGCGAATGAGCAGAGTGTCATCTTTAACAAAGGCTCTCTGAGTCAGCTGATGCAGGTGCAGAAAGGTGACGTAGCCGAAGCCTTTGGGGTTGCGCTGGATGAGCGGCTTCTGGAAGGCCTGCAGGTCCGGCTTGGTCTCCATCACCTCGACGTGGTGCTGAGCCTCGGGGCCCTGGTCCAGGATGGCCAGGCGGATGGTGCCCTGGAAGGGCCAGCTCAGCTGCCCGTCGAACGCCCCTTGCATGGTGTGGACAAAGAGGGAGATGAAGTTGGAGCAGCGCGGCGCGTTGGGGGTCTGCAGGTGGAGGCGCAAGCACAGCTTGTAGCCCGGGCGGCCCGTGTAGAAGCCGGGGCTGTGCTCCACCACCGGCTGGCCCGCCTCCTGGTTCCGCAGGTGGGCGGAGAAACCTCTGAGGCGCCAGATGAAGATGCCGTGGCACTGCTGCGACTCCAGCTCCTTCACGGTGTCCTCCAGCAGCGACACGCGGCGCCTGAGCTCAGCGAGCTGGCCGGCCTGTGGCGGACACGTGAACAATGTGTCACATGACCAAAGCCTGCACGCGTGTTTTGTCACAGAGGCAACGATGCATAAAAGCTTAGCTAGCTAATGGCTATGCTAATAGCTGTGAGCTCTATTTTTTGTATCACTGCTTAAGGGAGATAATTTGCTTCTTTAAAGAATAAGGAAGTTACATATATTTTTAATTAACTGCCTTTTTAAAAATCCCATGACAGGTAAAAAAAGTTGGAGAGACGAGACGAACTGAACAAGAATATAACTCGATGGCTTAAAACATCCCGGGTCCTGTGGCTACACATACCGGTACCCGAGGACGTCCCTTTACCTGCGTTTCCTTTAGGATGATAAGCTCCCGCAGCTGGTGGTCCTGCTTTACAAGCCGTCCGTCCATTTCCCTGAGCCTCTGCATCCCCTCAGCGGGTTGACTCGGCGCACAGCTGTTGCTGCTCATGCTGCTCGGGGCCCCTCTTGGTCCACTGCAGACGGCCGCCAATGCTGCTGTGGCCCCTTGATCCTCGGGGTAAGCGGAGGGCGCCGGCGCCCACAGGGACTTGGGCGTGGTGCCGTTGAGGCTGAGGCCGCGCAGGAACTCGGCCATGTAGCGCATGTGCATCTGCGTGAACTCCTGCATGTGCTGAGCCAGGTTGTGGCGCTGCATCTGCAAGGAGGTAAACTGTTACAGCGGGTGTGTATCGAACGGTGGACAGTGTGTCGGAGATTTGAACGCGATCACTTACGCTCTCCTTGCACCCGAAGGCGCTGAAGTTGCAGGCGATTGGTGCTTTCGGGCAATCTGTGTCACAGTGAGATTCAATCTGAAATAAAAACGTCATCAGCTCAGCTATATTTATGTCCATTTATAAAAAGTCAGTTATTGCTGTGTCATTGTGTACGGATGTAATGGGTTCAATTGTCTTGGAAATGGGTAACTTCCGGTCTCATGCAAAAATCCATTGTCTATATATTAACAACTGCACTTGCAGCAGAGATGTGTACGTGCGTGGAATACTTCCCCATTCACGTGAACACAAGTTACCAAAAATGCTAAAAAAATTGACCTGTAAAGAATTTAGCAGAGGCCGTTTTACTTTTTTAAAACGGCACAGTGTCATAACTCACCTGGTCTCTGATGAGCTCCAAGTCGCAGAACAGGCACTTGACGATGGCGAACGGACACCGCTGCTGATGAAGCTGAAGGAGCAGCAAAAACAGCCTGTGAGGAGGCAGCTGTGCGACTCTCCTCTGAGAGGAGCGGTTAAGATAAGCCGGCCCACGGTACCTTTCTCTCTTCGTAGAAAAAGCTCGCCACACAATCGGGACAGGACACGGGTCTCTTTTGGCACTCGGCGGTTTGGTGCTCCTCGAGGCGGCTCTTTCTCACCGCCTGCTGGCACTGTGAGCAAGGCACAGTGGCAAACTGACACCGCCCCAAGTGATTCTGGGGGGATAAAACAATGCAGTTCGTTTTACACTGTGGCACAAAGAGTGGTCCAATTCCATCGTCCACACAAGACAGATTGCAGTTTCATTACTTGGCATCTGATGCGGGTTTTTTTGTGCAGAGTGAGAGGAGATGTAGGAATTAAAAACTGACATGGTGATGACAGGGGAAGTAGAAGATCACCAACAACTGACCTAAGTGGTCCATTCAGTGATGAATGCTGGGTAAATAAAACACATATCGAAGTAACCACAGAAAACAAAATCTACTAAGAAACTTCAAACGCTTGTGTTTTTAAACTCGTATTTCCTCTTTCCAGTCTGAGCTGCTTTTAAAGTCAGATGTGTGCTCACCTCTAAATGCCGGAGCTCCATTTTGTCGGCACAGTCAGAGTTGGGACAGCGAACGGTTAGCGATAGGATCTCACGTTTGGCAAAGTTGTCCGGGAACAGCTGGTCTTCCAACAGCCTCTCGTTGTCCACGGGGCACCTCTGTCCCGTGTCGCTGTTACGCGGGAGAATAAGGTCAGCAGTAATTAACACAGCACACTGCGCGTGCTGCACAAATGGTCGTCGCTTTGACACGCGGAGCACACACGTGGTTTTGCACCGTAGCCTACCGGATGGACTTCTCGATGCAGTTCTTGCAGAAACGGTGACCACAGGGCGTTTGAATGGCGTTCCTCAAGGCCATGAGGCAGATCGGGCACTCGTATTTGCTCTCGAGGGGGGGGTCGAACTCCACGTCGTAGCCCTGGAGGGGCGCAGGGGCCTGGAGGCTGGCGGAGGAGCCGCTGATGAAGGTGCCGGGGCTCTCCGACGGGCTCAGGAGGGATTCCCGTTCCTTTTCCATCATCGCCAAGGCGCAGCCGGACAGCTCTCCTCCGACGGGCCCTTCATAGCTGTCCTCCTGCAAACTCCCCTTACCGCTTTCTGCGGACGCCATCTGTGGAGAGCGAGGCCACACGTCGGCTATCAGGTGGGAGGAGTGGCAACACGGTTATCGTGTGCGTCGATATCCCATATGTTTTGGCATCAGTGGTGAAGAAAGCCGAGCAAAGACTGTTCTACTGGAGACAGACGGTTTGGTATCACAGGACTATCGCGCTGGGATCGAGAGCGTCACAATAATTGTCAACAATCTCAAGAAAACCACCAGACAAAGTGCTTTAGAAACGGATCAAAATCAGACAGAAGCTACTGTCACTTGTTTACACTAAATGTATGCCATAAGGTCACCATAATTGGTTTATAGTGCCAATAGGACCCCTATGTGACATTATTGAATAATCGATTTGTTTTCCAATTATAACTTTTTGTCATTGATTTTGTGTTACAAAAGAGGTGAGGTTGTGTTTCTTTTCAGCTTTAAATTAAATCATCATCATTTCTAAATGACTTTACTAAAGGCAATGAATCCTTCAATTAGAAAGATGTCCTGACTGTGTGTGTGTGTGTGTGTGTGTAGTTTAACACAGTGCGGATGTGCCACACGCATGAATCATGCTTACAAATAGCGTTTTACTTAAGTTTAATACTTGAGCTAAAGTTCCTCTTCGCGGTCGAGGCAGCGGCGCCGCTGACGCTACGCCCGTCGCGGAAAGTACGGCGTAAAAATCACTACTTTTCACAATAAGCGTGACTCAACAAAGTCCCACTTCGTTAGCTCGCGTAAGCTAACACGGTGGCGAACCACCTCACAGCGGATACGTCGAGACGTCGGCGTCGCTGTCAGCTGCTGTTAGCACTGCTCGGACACGCACCTGGATGCGGAACTACGACTTTTGAATCTTAACTGGCGTGAAAAGAACGATTGAGAGAAATATGTACTGACCGAAACAGCGGCGACGGCCAAACTCACATCCTGTTCACCAACAACGGCGCTCGGGAACTGACCACAGCCGTGGACGCCGATGTTACTCGTATATTAATACGCACCTTTTCACTCGAAAATGTCTGGAACTTTTTCGTTTCTGCAGAATTTCCTGTTTTTCTTTTCCAGACGTCATCAGCGGTGCTCGCGTGGGTTTTTTTTTAGGGGGTGGAGGGAGCGCGCGCTCGGGCGTTTAGCGCCCCCGCGTGGCCGGAGGCCGCGCGCGCGCCCGTTGCCACACAGCAAAATGAGACAGAAAAAATGGCGGAGCTCAGGAGAATCTTTCCTGGGTCTTTGCCGTATCGCGTCAACAACTGTTCGCGGAAGCCGTCATTCCGGGGCAAGCTTTTTGTCCTTCTCTGCGCACTTTTAGTGGACTCCGGAGGAGCCACGACCCATTGGGTTGTCACCGAGGATGGAAAAATCCAACAACAGGTATGACAGTCACCGCTAGCTCCTTGACCTGCTAACGCCTAACGTCAGGCGCGGGCTAGCTTGCGCTGCTCGTTGGCGTTTTTTGCCGGCAGTTAACTCAACCTCGGCGACACTCGCCGACTAGGGGGGGGCGTTACACACCGCGGGGAAAGCGGCGTTTGATATAAACTGTGTTTTGCTAAGTTGGTTAGCTTGCGCCACCTAACGCTAAGCCTCGGCTCTGACGTTATCGCGAGGTGCGTGACATCGCGACGACCCGATGTGTCACGAGCCGCGCTGGAGCAGACGTGACCGGAGCGTCGGTCAGTGGCCGTTGGACGTAAACCGTCGTGTGACGGGCTTTGACACTCAGACTCTTCCCACTGCCAATTAAAGCCGGAGGCTAAGATCTGAGTCTTTCTTCATAACCTTAAATAAACCAGCTGGTTGATTTGTATTCCCCTGTATTGGCATTATTCTGGGGTTTGTTTGGTTTTCAGGTTGACTCCCCTTTGAATCTGAAGCATCCACATGACGTTGTGATCTTCATGAGGCAAGAGACCCGTGTGAGCTACCTGAAGAAGCTGGAGGTGTGTGTGTGTGTTTCCTTTCCTTTGGCATCTCATCCGAGTGACTCTCATTTCATTTTGTGCAGAAAACAGAACAGCTGGCCAATACCCTTCTCAATATCCCATCACTACTTCATTCATGGAATACCATTACTCACTGTTTACTCTTGTGTACTGATTAGTCTGATTGTTCTCCTTGGCTGCTGCTGAGCAGAAGCAGCTGGTGGAGCAGAAGATCCACATTGAGGAGAACGAGGACAGAGACACGGGGCTGGAGCAGAGGCACTACAAAGAGGATCCAGACTGTGTCATGGCTAAGGTGCCCCTCGGAGACCTGGACCTCTATGATGGCACTTACATTTCCCTCGAGAGCAAAGACATCGGGTAAGCTCTTCTCCTATAGTGCGCTCGGTTTAGAACATTCTAGTTATTTCTACTGTGTCAATCATTGGAAATGTGTTCAGAGAAGACATTTGCTCCTGAAATGAAATTGTCATCTCAAAAAGCTGTTTTCTGCCCTTCTCCTATAGCCCCGACGATTATGTCGACTCCCGGGCAGCTCTGCCCCCCGATCTAGAAAAGCCGGACTGTGCAAAAGTCTTTGAACTACCTTATAGTATCCATGCTTTCCAACATCTCAGGGTGAGTAGGGTCCAACGTTGCCAGTAGTCTAAATGAGGTGCCAGTCATACAAGGTTACGCCTAAGCACTTCCTGATGAGAGTGTGTTTAACCTTGAGCTTGGTAGAGCCAATGTTTTGCAGAATGTTTTGCTTAGAGCTCCAGTAGGTAATTATTCAAATTGTGTAAGAACAGACACGCACAGGGGAGATTAATACAGAGGCAGAAAAGCTCGACGAGTAGACATACACGAGCTAACCAACAGAAGGACGGAGATTAGCGCTGTAGAAAGCAGTAGAATCCCTTGTTTACCTGCGTGGAGAAATGTTCCTCTTGTGTGAGCAGCCAGGCTACTGCTTGCGCAACTATTGACATAGCAAATGTCAGTTTGCAACGCTTCTTTAGCCACTCTGAGCCTGGCATAGGCTGCTTAATGGAAAAGGCACTCTACTGAGGTACTGAGGTAGCTGCATTTTTATGTTTTACACCCCATTAATCTATGACATGCTGGTTTGGTTTCACTGAAGACATTTAAATACGAACCCATCGCCACAACAGGATATTCTGTGACCATTTAAGCATTTAAAATGGTCTCTGTAAGACTAAAATATATGAAAATCTGTGTAATCTTTGTCTCTCAAGAAACATCCTAATTGTATCTTAAGGTTGCGTTTAGGGCACACACACACAAATGAGGCCCTTGTGGATAAGAATGTGTTTTGAGGAGGAACAAAAACTCTAGTTGATATTTAATAACGGTCAAATTGGGAAAAAAACACAGATCACTGCAGCGTTTCTTTCAGGCCTCCAATACTGATATCTGCATCGTCACCCTAAATTCCCAATCCGCCCTCTCTGTCCCGTACTGCAACCGCGTCCTTTACCAGCTGAAGGGATCACACGATCCAAGTCCTCCTTCCCGATTCCTCTGGTGTGCTGATTCCAACTTCCTGCACGTCTTAAGGGTCAAACATGGCGTGACGTGGTGGTTTCAGTTGTCCTTCCCACTTTGAGGAACTTGTTACCAAAACACTTCAAAAATGCCCTCAAAGCCCAGACCGGCCTTCCCCTTCTCCACTCATTGTCTTCCCCTTATTTAAGAGTCCAGCGCACGCTTACCAGTGGACATTTCAACTTGGACAGTTGCTATACATTTTGTTTTTCCGTTGCGTGACCGATCACATGCGAGTAAATCCTAGCTTCCGTCTGTTCCAGGGTGTGCAGGAGAGAGCAAACCTCACCTCCCCACTGCTCTCCAAGGAGGATCCCATTTTTAGTTCGTTGTCTCACAAGCTGGGCCGCAGCGTTGACGAGGTGGGCCATCGCATCCATCAAGAGTTACTGAGGGTAAGGTCTCACTGAACTGTACAAATATCAAAGACCTCTGTTGTCCCCTTTATCGGGTATATGGACAAAAGAAGCTTAGCATGGAAGGACAAAGTCCTTTTTACCCACATGGAAGGACAGAAAGTCCACCTTTTTTTCTGAACGTGTGTTCCAGAATGCGTCGTCCTGGGTGCTGTACAACATGGCGTCTTTTTACTGGCGCATGAAGAACGAGCCTCAGAGGGCCGTCGACTGCGTGGTGCGCGCTCTGCATTTCTCCCCCAGGTACCGTCTTGGCTGGTCAGAAGCTCAACTGGACCGCCGCACCGTTTCAGCGTGTGAGGCCGCTCGCAGGTGTTCAGGCCCTCACCCTGCGCGTGTGCACTGTGTGTTGTTCTCGTAGGCAGCACAAGGACGTAGCGCTGGTCAACATGGCCAACGTCCTGCACCGCGCCCATTTCTCGGCAGACGCAGCCATACTCGCCCACGCTGCCTTGGACCTCACGTCGGATCTCTTCACCAGCCACTACACGCTGGGCAACATCTATGCCGTGAGTCCCAGAAACCACTGCACAAACGTACCGGATTAAGCTTCCGTTCCTGTTTGGTTTGTCCTGCGATGTTTTTACTATCTCACCATTTGTAGTACAGCACCGGTCTATATAAGGTACGTGCCATCCGAGACCCATCAGTAGAGAGCTTTTGGCTTTGAAAGCGTCCTGGGTTGCTTTTGTAGTCCGAGGAGTGGTAACCAACAATGCAGGTGAACAGTCCGTGTTGAGAAAAGGGGCAGAACACGAGGAGCTGATGTATACACCGCCTTGGCCCCGGAGGAGCTGAAGAGTTCCCAGATGAATCCTCTTTATTTGACTAGACTCATATTTCCATAACACCCCTTAAAGCTTAACGCCGGCAGCATGTAGTTCTTTCTCTCTGTATATAGTTCTTTTAGTTTTGTTACATGGGGATTTCTCCCCGTTTGACGTCCACCGCTTGTGTCGTCCTGTGTCGCCGCGTGACCAGATGCTCGGGGAATACAACCACTCGGTGCTGTGCTACGAGCAGGCGCTGCAGGCCCAGCCGGGCTTCGAGCAGGCCCTGAGGAGGAAACACTCCGTGCTCTGTCAGCAGAAGTTGGAGCAGCGGCTGGAAGCCCAGCACAGGTAGGCGAGCGGTCGCACATTCGCCCTCCTAATAGGTGAAGGGGGGGACATTTTCAAACTGCGAGGCCTCAACAAGAACAGAACTCTGCCCACCAGTAGTCATCACAGTTGGGCCTTGTTTTAGGTTATCTGTTTATTCTTTCTTTCTTTTTTCTTTTTCACGGTTTTGTTTAAAACACTCTTGAAAGTTGACAACGTCACAACAGAATTGTTGGTTGTCAGAACTTTTCAAATGGCCGTTTAAAGCTTTGTTTCCCTGCCATCTCCTCTATTGGCCTTCCTCACCTTCTAGATCCCTACAGCGGACGCTGAACGAGCTGAAGGAGTACCAGAAGCAGCACGACCACTACCTTCGCCAGCAGGAGGCACTGGACAAACACAAGCTGCTGCAGGAAGAGCAGATCCTGCGCAACATTATCCACGAGACCCAGATGGCCAAGGAAGCCCAGCTCGGTAAGACGCCATTCAAATAGATCCGAGGACACTTATTTATTAGCGCCTTTATAGCAGTGTATCATAAGAAAGTAAAGTTACTGCGTTAGAGTGTATGTGGAGACCGGATTGTATCGTCGTATGAGTTGAATGTACTGGACGTCTTTTACTAGGGGTGGGAATCTCTTGGCACCTCACGATTCGATTCCGATTCGATTCTAAACCGATTATCGATTCTAAACTGATGAAACGATTATCGATGCATCTCGATTTTCCAAATTTTCTCAAATCTGAGTTTGCTACTCAGAGGTTGCTAATCACTTCCTACTTTATTTGATAATTAAAGAAAATCAACAGATGAATTACCTTCTCTAATTTTTTAGAGAGAGAAACATTTTTTCTTTTTTTTTCTTTTAAATGAAGAAAAAGCTGCTCTTAGTCTCAGACCGGTCCGTATTTGTAAAATACCGGAAAAAAGTCCAAATCTGTGAATATCTTGCCAACTTTCCATATGGATCGACTTTTTGGAAAATCGAAATAATGAGGTAAGATATGCGCAGGCTCCTCCATAGTTCGGTAAAGT